TCCTCTTACACACAGGATGAAACCATGCTGAGATCTGCTGCTGGCCATCTTTGGCTTTTATGCCACCTTTAAGTTACTTTTTCCCGCAATTGTTATATAGCTTTGCAGCTATTGTCCTTCTTATCTTCACCTTTGAAATGCTGCTGTTATCATGTTATTGTAGGCTCTTTGTACTCTGGCATTGTCACGTCAAATGTTTTTCTTCACGCGCACAAAAGAGATACTTGGCAGTGTTCTTGTCATTCTGCAAAGAAAAATACTTTAACTGCAAGTTTCATTGGCCTTCATCTGCCAGAGCGTTTTTCATTGAAAGTGGTGTGTTTGTTATTAAGTATAAACTATGAAACTTGTGAGAGCATGAGAATTTGTTAGCTCAACAAAAGTAAGCTACTCAAAAATAGTTTATCTATGTAATAAACCATGGGAGTTGAGTCAATATTTGTGCAAACAGTTCCCCCCAAAGCTGATCAACTGCAAAACAAAAACTCATCCCTTTATTAACACTAAAACAACTCCAGCCCCTCTCTCTTGATAACATCAGAGACCAAGGTCTTGTTTTTCTGTATTCTAGCTTTGGGAAAGAAATCTTCTATTTCAGTGGATTAGCTGAAATAAAGGTCATCACTGCCTTTCATCAAACTGCAATAAACAATGTTTCATCACGATTTACAGGAATTAACTAGATAAGCTTTGGTTTCAAACAGCCAAGTCTCAAGCTGCCGAAGCAACTGCTCATGTTATTTTGTAAGAGAACTGTCTCTGTGTCTACTGTCCATGTGTTATTAATATTCATCCACGCTAACATTTTCTTGAACGCTTCCAACTCAAAGAGACGACTCTAACAAATGGACTTACGATAGAAGAGAGGCTCGCACTCCAAATGTCACGTCTGCGAGCTGTTCCATTTGTTTTGAATGCACTCCAAATGAAAAGCAATTTAAGAGCTCCAGCCATTAGAAAGACCCCTCACCACTGAAGTGCAAACCAAACCTTAATTAGGAAAATGATGATTGTTCAGTGCACGCGCTCAATTTGCTTTACAATTGGCCAAGCCTCTTTTCTTATACAACCCTCTGTCAATTTATATACTTCAGCCTGTCTACATTTGCAAAATGTCAACATGCCAGAGATTAAATTAAAGCAGGTCTCTGTAAAGAAGACACATCTATCACATCATTACTGGCAGAAGATTAACTGGTTGACATTTCTCTCCACTAAATTGGCACAATGGGACCAGATTCAGACGATTCTCTGTCAACAAGCCCTGTCAAACACACGTGCATGATGGAGAATATAATTAAGTCAAACATCTATAATGCATCCCCCCCCACAAAACTCTAAAAGATTGTATAGTGTCTTTGTTTGACTTTTGTTTATGTTCAAATGTTTAGGACTCTGTGTAATTATGTTGCTGAAAATGTTCTTTCAATCAATTTGACTTAAATCAAAAAGTAAGAGCTCAGACACACACCCACACGGATCCGTGTGTACTGAGGCATGTTTAATGATACATGCACTCAGCCCTATGCTTCACCTGTAATAATACTGTGCAAATACAGCCAGAATAATTAACAGTTTAGTATGGAAAACTAACATTTGATCAATCCAAACTGCCCGTAGTGTGAGTCCAGTCAACAGCGCTGGAACAAACAAGAGCAAACCTTAACACAGGGAAAGGTCATAGGATCAATAATTCATTTAAGATGCTCCCTGGGATTGACTCTGCAGTTGCCTCGTAATCAGGAGGGGAGATTTATTTATCTTAACCAACTTTAAATCCACATTCCTACGGAAAGAAAAAAACATTGTACCACCCCGGTCGATTTTCAGTGCCCTCACAAGGCCATGAGATTTTCTGTTTTATTTACCCCCCAGGAGCTGGCAAGGAGCAGCTCTTTAATGACACTTCAGCTGTGTACTAATCACCTATTAAGAAAACTTTGGAAGAAAAGAAAAGGAAGAAAATCTAAGGACTAAGGACAAATCCAAGGATACAATGGTATTCACAGAGGGGAAGTACTTTACACTTTAGTGCTGCAATGTACACCTGCACATTGTCTCAGTAAAAAAAATGTGTAAGGGAATTTTACTTTACTTGTTGTGTTTGGTTAATTGAAATCTACATGGAAAAATAAAAATGGGCAGTTAATCTTTGGGTTTTTTTTAGTTTTTTTTTTTAGTTACGTTTAATAAGGTGTTTCTGTGTAGAGTCAGTTGAAGAACTATTTTATTGAACAAGGCCAGAACATGCTTCGCAATGTTTTCAAATATCATATTATTTAGTTAGCAGGCCATTTCACATGTGCAGTGCTCACAGGACTGGATGTGACTAATTCACAGACAGAACCACCTCTTCCGATTTAAATAATGCAGCCCTGCTGAGTGGAGGCATCCAGGGGCTATGTTGGCTCAAACGCTACAAACCTGCCCGGGCTGAAAGATTTAGCGGTCGCCAATCAAAGCCATGTCCAGGTGTGATGCCGAAACTACATTTTTCAAAATGCAATACCTTGAAAAAAGGGATGCTTAGAACAGATTTTGAGTGTGCTTTCTTTACACATCCTGCTCCTCCTACCTGATGTGCGGTTACAGGATGAAATTTTATATTCCCACTTTAGGGATCCTCTTTAAATATCCACGTTTTGCTAAAAGACAGATGCTGGCTGGGTGAGTTTTCTGCTGAAACATCTGTCCTTAATAAACAAATGACTATAAAGGAGACATTTCATAGGCAATTTCATCAAGGAAGCAGCACTGTGGAGTTTTTGCTTCAACATGTCACTCAACACCATTAGACCATATGGCTAACAGTTTGAAGACTATAAACAAGTTTGACTGACAATCCAAAACTGTCACGGCAAAGAGAGAACAAGACAATTATAGTTTAAATGTAAATGTTGGCTGACACACAACAGCACAATGACCTCAACAAATACATGTTAGTTTTGTTGAATGGATTTCAGTCACTTCACATGTTTTGTAGAGCCTGTTCACTCTGTACCTCTTGCCACTTTTTCTCTAACACCATGCAAATACCTGCCTGTAGACAATTTTGTAATAGAGTGCGTCGGTGCACCAAACGTTTAGTCTGCCATACGCTCTAAATTTGTGTCTTTGTCAAATTGGATTCCAAATGCAATTATCTGCCAAGGTAATTCATGATAGTGTAGCCTGCTGTAACTGCTCATTTGAAAGGATGCAGAGTCATTTATGTGTCATTTTGGAACAATACTGTATCTCTTGGACTAGGTGAGGCCCATGGGAAGCTCTGCAAGCTTTCTACTTTGTCAGGAGAGGCAGGAATGAATGATTAGCGCCTTCCAATAACTAGTTCCAAGGAGAGTGGTTAAAGCGATACTGTAAGCAAATGTCTGGCCTAGATCTGTTTAGTAATGAGTTGGATCTCTATGATTAGTCAAATCTATCACAAATGGCGCTATTTGAATAATGTTTGCAAAACATTTTTTAATCCAGCACGGGAAGCTTTTCCAGGGAAATCATGTTGCTGGCAGATGGATTCTCAATATCAAACCCAGACTGGTTATAGCACTTGCTTTGAGGTAACCTTACGCAGGCAGGATGAGTCTTTTGTCTGTCTGGGCGATAGTTTGATGTCTAGCAGTGAAATGCTTACTTTTTTTCTTTTAAGCCACACAGCGTTCACAAATCAGAGAATTGTTTCTGATGCGGGACTTCGTTTCTACGCAGGCTGCAAGTGGATTAATCCAGCTGAAGAGTAATTGCCCTTGCATTGTACTGACTATGCATGAGGGAATTCAAATCACTTTTAAGTTTCAGTTCTGTAGGATTGGAGCCAGTACTTGAGACAAGCTAAGGTGTTTATGTGAGTTCATTTAATTTGGAGTAAGACTGCAACAGTCCTATTAATGGATTAAAGGCCTGCTTGTAAATGTAATGATGTGAATCTGCTGACGGGCCTAGGAATATATCAGAGGGGGGAGTATATAAACAGCAGTCTGCCCACTCTTAACATATACTGTAATTGTATGCTGGAGCCAGGCAAAAAATATTCAGAGTGGCTGATCAGTGGCCGACTGTACAACAGTGAGGTAGAGATGGGTGAATCAGGCATGTGACTGCGTGATTGTCTCTATTCTTGTGCTGTTACACCTGCAGGCTGTGCTGTAAATAGGCTGTGATTCTACACCCCTTCATTTAGCATCCTCTGAGTATCTTCCTCATTCTCGCTTCCTATAATATCGTTATCGGTGCAAATCACAAAAAGCTCTATGTAGCCACATTTAAACTGTTTCATCTGTCTATAGACAACACTGACAGGCTACCAAAACAACACCTACACTTTTGTTACAAATGTTAAATTTGAATTTGTTTTTGTTTCCAAAACATAGAAAATGTTATGTCAGTCAAAAGCCAGAGTTGTTTTAATTTCAATTGCAAGTGCTAACTTTGAGGACACAACAAAAGCCAGTACACATAAAGGCACACAGAAAAGGCTGAATTACTATATATGCATAACGAGTGTGTTAAAATGGACCAACATGTTTTCATTATGATTATATTTGTAAATCTAGTTCTTTGGTTTATTTGTTTTTTCTTTATTATTGCTTTATTTGTTGTTATGTAGGATTATGTATGGACATGATACAGTGTTTGAAATCGTTTATTTTCTGTCCTTGTTTCCTTGTTCCTTGTTATAGAATCTCTAACCGATGTTTAACAATGGAGGTTTTTTGACCAAGGCTGGTTATTAAAGAGAATGGCCATTGTTAACCAGATTAAAACCAAAACTGTCCCATGCTGTTAAAACCACTGCTTTTTTGCATAACTAACACATTTCCAATTACAAACTCAGTATTTCCCATAGTTGATTGTGAAGGCTTAGTTTGTGAATGTGGCCTCCTAGTTTCCACAAATATCCTACTGAAGTTCTGAGCAAATTATATGTTCATGTAGTAGTATAAGCATCCCATGTGAATCTATTCATTAATTCTTACTGACAGACAACAGTGCAACATAAACACAAACTCAAACATCATTTTTATTCTCCAAATATACAGAGCAAAAGCATCATAGATTCACAGACCAGTAACAGTTAAAATACAACCATTTTTTTTTTTTTTTTAGATACAGAGAGCCACTGCCTGAAAATAGTGGTTTACCCAGTAGAATTTACATGTTGTTTTTTCATTACAATTATGCTTATGGTTCACTATTTATACAAACTCTTGAAATGACCTCCTAAGTTAAGTACTTTTTCAGACCTGGGTCATGTAGTATTTGCAAGCTAGTTTGCATTATTTGGAGTACAGAACAACTCAACCAATCACAAAGAAGCGTACTCATTTGACTTCCAAATTCTTTCAGTCTTCTGTGATTTATCGTACACTCTATGCTGCAAACCAAACCACACTGATTCTAGGTGTGCCCAGCAGGCTAAAGCAAACTGAGGATAATTTGCAAATACTATTCAGTCCAGGCCTTTTTTCCCTTACAGTTGTTTGTTATTAAAGTACTAACAAGGTATTGATTGATAGAAAAGAAAAGAAGTGAGAGAGAAAGAGAGAAACAGTGATAGAAAGCATTTACACAGTAAAGAAAGGGTTATTATGATCAATTCAAAGTTTCAAATGACACCTTCTCTAATGTGTTCCATCATTGACAGTAACACCTATCATACAATGAGGGAGACTTTAAAGAGCCTCATGTTCACCACCTTTTGCTGGCATAGGCAAGATATTGGCAGTACTAATGTTCAGCAATTGTTTATCAGTTTTTTTCCAATTCATTCAGACCAAGCAAAACGTTTTGTGCAGTAAACAAATATAATATAGCCAGTGGGCAGAGGAGCCATTACCAACACCTACCAACCAGTCTTCACTTCATACGGCTCATGACCTCTGTCTCTCACCTTAGAAATAGCCATTGTAGCACAGGCCAGTCTTTAGCATCTCTGAATAATAGACTGCTCTGCGTTCTCTGCTCTGAAAGGGTTGCTTTGTTTTATTAGGGAAAGGGCAGCAACCCCTTGTAATTGTTCTGGGTCTTTGTGTTTATTCATCTGTTATGCCCTGGCATCTGTGCGGTGCTCGTAGCCAGGCAAAAAGGCGCCGCCAGCACCAGCCGGAGAGGCGTCCGCAGGTGAGCAGGGCAGACTTTGTCCCCACATGGGCTTTGATTCTCAAAGACTGACATGGCACTCACATCCTGTGGTGCTCTTATGGCCACTGTAGCTGCTACCACGGGGGGGATGGGACAGAAGGCTGGCCTATCAAATATTTATCTGTTTGCTGTGCAGTGTGCAGATTCTCTGGACTGGGAAAATGCATTATTTTCCGATCAATGCGGGAGCTGCATCAGATAAGTAAAACTGGACCCTTTGGACAAGAAAGCAAATTTGTTTTGTTTATAGGGAGAGACATGCTGAATGTATAGGTGAGTTTTGAAGAGTGAAAAATTTTGCTGCTGTGGATGTAAAATAAATGAAACGCATAAATGAAAACTGTAACTTGTCCCATGCAACTAGATCACATTGTAATTGCTGCCAATATTAAGTTAAGAATTCAATCTTGCACTCATAAATGTTGAGAAAAATAAATAAAAAGGGCACAGGCTTACTTGACAGTCATCATGGTGCCAAATGCAATATATTTCTGGGCATCTGGGCATCTCTCAGAAGGGCTGAAGGTATAATAACCTCTTACTGCATCTCACTTCAAAGCTGTCCCAGCTAAGCTCAGATTCTCATCCTATAGCCTCCTGTGTGCTCGTGTACAGAGTGTGAGTTTTCCCCGTGAGATCTGGGGGAAGAGAAACTACTCCTACAAGCCTTTCATGTAATTTGTGAGAAACAAGTAAGGTTGATGAAATTTTTGGAAGGGAAACAAAGTAAAAATGATTGTCGTACAGTTTTGATGCCATGTGGATTTGTTGAGCTCTAATATAATGAAATCTGACTGACAAAGAATGAAAAGCCAGGAAAAATTATATACAGAGAAAGACAGCATTAGAGATTTATATACAGTCTGCTAAGTGCCAAGCTGGATTATCAGCATTGAAACAGAGCTTTTTGTCTTAAGCTGTACAATGGGCGCCAATCCATTTGTAAAATTAGTCCAAACCACTGCCACTCAAGTGGAAAACCCCATTCAAATGCTTTGAATATAATCATATGTAAAGTGCTTACAACAACAACTTGCTTTTGTTGGAAATGCTGTGCTCGGTTTTTCATGGGTTTAGAGGCAGAAGTCTTAGTTTCAGACTCACTTTATCCCAATTGACTGCTTCACTATGGAGTATTCTAAAAACTACTTAATTAGATAAGATATGTTGCAACTTAACATACTTTCTGTCACATTTTGTTGATTTGACAAAACAGAAGGGACACTGACACTAGCAAGCTACAGTTATCAGCACTGTTTTACACCAATCTGCCTGTTTCCTGGAACTCCTCTTTACCCTTCAAAGAATTGATCAAATAACAAACACAATCTGATTCTATAAACCATGGCTGATGGCTAAAATCAAATGTGATGTAATGCATGATGTCACTGTGGCTGTAACTGAAATGATCCATGTTTACTGTAAAGGGCTGCCCTTCAAGCAATAACATGGATTATGGAGACAGCCAGTTTTTATCACAGACTTTGTTTGGTTTACATCTTATTTAGAAGTCAAAATACTTGACATATAGAGTGCTGTGTGGTGAAATCCAGGTTAGAATAAAGAAAAAAAATCCCAATTGCTGTACAGTATCTGCACTATGCACAAATATGCATTAAGATTCCCAGTGTTTGTTGCTGCAACAAAAGAAAAACACCCCAGTCATTGCTTTGTTCTGCCACAAAACATGCACAATGCATGACACCCTTGACAACAGGCTCACTTTGAATTGAATGTTTGTGTAGCTTCAAGTTAAATCACTACTCTCTGTCTCTACTCTCAACTAAAACACATAAAGTGTCTGTGATTAAATAATAAATCCAATTTCATAGATGTCACATACAGGGCAGGACAGAACAAAATAAAACGACGCACCTGACAAGAGTCAGGCACCACCATCAGCTCCACAGTAGCCAAAAATGAACAGCAAACAGCAAAATAAAACACATTTTCTAAATCTGCTTTTCATGTCCCTTGATGACCAGCACGATCACAGGTAGGTATGCAGTCAGGATGCACTAATCTCCAGTGTCAACAGTGATATTGACAATAGCAATGGGATAACCACACAATAAGAAGCTCTGCTAAAATTTGTTTACATTTCATAGAACAGGTACCCTCAAATGTATGGCTGATGATCTGAGGCTTTAGCAGGAGAAACTCACAAGTACAACACATGTTGCACTTGTGGGCTCTCTTGCTGCATGCCTTGGAGCTGGATTTGGTGCAGTAACACCATGGAGGATCCAGCTCTCCATCAACAGAAGAGCTGATAGTGTACGTCTATCTCGCTTAGTCAAAGTTTGTATTGACACAGTTCAAACATACCCTCAGGGCAAAGTAGATATGGACAAGAAGAGGCGCTCATGTCTCATTTAGAGTCCTCCTTGAGGAAAAATAGAGTCAGAAATTAGATTCTAGAAAATAAATGACAGTCACGTATGTACACTGATATTCTTGATCACAGAGTGTCACAGTAAAATAAAGACTCAGGGATTTAAAATGAGATCTCAGCCCCTCTTTATCTGCCCAGCTCTGTGGCCCAGATACTGCTGCGGAGAGAACAACAGCCGTTCTTTTAAAATTTTGAGACGTCTGTGGGCACATGGAGAAACTTTTCTTCCACCTACACAGGAGCCCAGTTTCAACAAGAAAGCTTAACATACAGTGTTTGAGAGGAAGGCGGGGGGAGGGGAAGAGTTATCGCTTTAACAAATAAAAACCACATGCACATTCATTTTTGTGCTTCAAACTACAAGAGAGCAGCAGGATATTGGCTCGCACTATCGTGCCATTCGTGCTGAGGTTTTATGAATGACAATCTTCAAAAGGCAAAAATGGTCTTTGCCAGGGGAGCTGATTGTCACACAAAGCCTTTGTGGTATTCCTGCCCTCCGCTAACAATCCCACAGCAAAAACCAAGTATCGAAAGTTCAGATTCCAAACTTGAGTTGTCTCTGTGTTGGCAATTAACCTCTCTGTGGCACAATTCTGATTATGGGTTAAAAAAGGAGGTGGTTGATCGGTTAAGCATGAAGGTAATATAAGGCTTCTTGATCCACTTTTTGGGACACTGAGAAGTCTGAACAAGTCACACAGTGTGTTAAAGCCAACCAGCCCCTGCATTTCCAGGTAACAGTGTTACTTTAGGGGCTCCTGGGAGCTGATTCGAGTTTTACAATCCTGGCTGCTTGTTACACCCCGTTCAAACACCCTCCCTCCCTGTGGTCAGACGTGGGTCTGCATGCGCTTCTGGAGCGGCCGAGTGAGGTCTGAGTTCTGCGAGGAGGACTGGGAATAATGGGAGGAGGAGGAGGCTGATGCCTTGCTGTCTTTGTCGAACTGCACGTAGCCGTCCGGCTTACTGTAGCTGCTGACGCTGCTGTCACACTGCGTGTCGATAAAAGAGCTGGAGTCGCTGAGTGAGCCACGCTGGAATTCCCGCTCACACAGCTCGATGGAGCTGCTGCCCATGCCCAGCACGAAGCGTTGGCTGTAGTCATAAAGGCGGTTTGGACCTGCTCCCAGAGTTGAGTAGATGTTGGTGAAGGACATGCCCGTCGGCACCCGCTGCTTGCCCAGGGTACCTGTGTTGGTGGGGTTCCTCACCTCAGTGGACTGATTCCCTGCCATGGTAGGCGTGTGGTGTTCCTTAAAGGTATTGACACTGTAGTAGCCATTTGTAGGGTCCTATTGAAAACAAAGGGCAGAAAGATGATTACCATTATATGTTTTTTCTAGGCTATAAGTAATTAAAAACAGGAAAAAGAGGGGAAAAAACATTACCTTGTTTATATGCATTTACATGTATTCTTCTCAAAGCTCAACAGGAGCCAAGGTAATTCTGGCAGTGATTACCATTCAAATTTGTGAATAAATAAGGAAACAGGTTGCTGTGTACATCACGAGAAAAAACGTACTTAGTGCTAGGATTTAGTCAGCCCCCAAGCTATCCTTAAAAGCATGTTTCTTGCTAATTAAACGGGCCTTGGTGATTCATAGTTTGGCATCTAACGTGTCACAGCAAAGTTCACTCAAATACCAGCTCTAATTGGACCTAAACGGATTGTACTGTCTGTGATTTCATGTATGCACTGAAATAGCTTCTGAGGCTACAGCTGTGCCACTTGTTTGTCTGCTCGGCTGCAGGCACCGTGCTGTTGCTAAGGGTCCAGTTAGGGCGTTTGTGTTTTTTTTTTTTTTTTTTCATGTCCTCGTGTGAATGGATGTGAATGTCAAGCATAGTGAGCATGGTGGCAAATCCCAAAAGAAGAATGCTCATAATGGGAAAATGAGAGCGACAACCTGTGAAGATCCTCGTTATGCTTGTCATTATCAGACAGCAGACAGGGAGATTGTTTGCGTCTGGCCTTTATGTCGTACTCAGTCCCCCCCTCTGCCCTCGCCTTGTGCATGCTGTCGTTAACTAGGATCAAAAAATCCGGCCCCAGAGGAAGCAGGTAAGCAGGCAAACACAACAGAAGCACACACCGGGGAGCCAACGCCAACATTGGTTTGGACAAATGAATTGGAGGACAAATGAACGGTTCAGAATTTCTTTCTGTAGTGAAGTTCATCAGCAGGTCCCAATGGGTTTGATATGACAGATAACACATTAACGGGAACAGAACGTTGCTGTATAGAACAAGTTAGGTACCTACCTATAGTTAGGTATAAAAGATAGAATGATATTCCAAATTTAGTATTGAATAATATTACACTACACCATTGAAAGGGGTTTTAAATAATGCTGAGAGAGTAAAGTATTCTTCCAGTCCCAGCATTCTTCCCAGTCCACTATGTTCTCTTTGAGTCCAATCCCATTTATATGGTATAATTAACACTTTAAGTAAGTAAATTAAATAAGCTTAAGGGCCAACTAGCTTCTGATTCCTTCAACCACCTTTGATGAGAGACTAATTAATAAAAATCTGACCTCTAACAAGAGTCATTTTGCCTCTGGACTTACCTTTGGAAAATCATGTGAAGCAGAAGAGGGATTAATGCTTTTTAGCTATTTTTGGTCCCAGAGTTGAAGACTACCCTTTGCCCCAAAGGCATTCTCTGTCTCACGAGCTTTTACTCTCGTTCTCGCTCACGTTCACGTTCATGAGCCGTACCTTAATGTGCTGATACTCCTTCTCTTCCTCTTGTAATACCTCCAGTTGCTTCAGAACCGACTCCTGCTGGAACTCTCCTCGTTCAACCTGCGCAGAAATCAAGCAAAGTATATTAAGAGTCTGTTTAGTTTCCAAAACTCCTCCATTCAGAGTAAAAGGACATTTTGAGACGGAAGGATTTTGCTTTTATCACTTGTCCTTCTTTTTTAATATCAGTCAGTCATGTTTCACCTTCACTCAGGCCTAGCAGGGAGCATTAATAATGTAGCTGTGAATATCTTTTATTTATCTTAACAAAATGCAGATTTATAAGGTAGCTAAGCTCATTTCCCTGCTCTAACATCAAGTACCTACTGTATTAAGTATTTTTGAAAGAAAATGTAATCCAAAACCTCACACTGCAAATAGCGTAGCCCTGGAGCAAGCTACATGAAAACCAAAACACTGGTACAATTCCAAAGAGGAAACAGCTCTTCGTGTGTCTTGAGGGCATGTAGATACAGAAGTACACCCACTGTAGGATTACCCTGTATGCATCAGCATCTCCATAGTTGCAATATATTGGGGTCTGTTCTGCTTATGACTAGTGACATCATATAGATAAATGGTAAAATGTAAATGGACTGACTTGCATAGCCTTTTTCTAGTCTTCCGACCACTCAAAATGCTTTTACACTACATACCACATTCATCCATTCACACACATTCATACAGTGATGGCAAACACTTAACTCAAACAGAAAACAAAATCAATTCATTCACATTCATGCCATTAAAGTGCATTCATTATTTTACTGTTAAACCTCAGAAGGACATGCAATAATATATATATCTATAAAAATATTACAATTAAAATGAATAAGAAATGGAAAGTAGTATGTTGTGACACTCACACTCACCATCAGTTGTTTCATGGAAGTGTGTTCTTCGTTTTCACGTGCGGCATTGTGGTCTTTGTGTACAATCTCCACCCGGATGTCGTTTTTTGCAGACACGACTCCTTTTAGATCTGGCAGAAACAGATGACACACATATCTCAATAAGCTGCAGGATAAACACCATTCTGCATTTGTTGACATTATAATTTCCCCCAGTGCAGTTTGCAGTATTACAGAATTTAGCAAAGATCCCTGGGCTTGGTCTGTGAGAGCTCCCCCATTTCCCGAAAACAATACAAAGTATTATTAATCATTTTGTTTCCTGCCAACTCAAGATTATCTGTTTCTGCATACATATGCAATCTCACACAGCCTTTCCACGGTGGCTCATTCTGTTTGGGACAATGCTGATGATACTGTCATATAACAAAGTCTTACTTTCTGTCTTAATTTTGCTTGCAAGTTCTCTCTGGTGAGCACAGATGGAGACGGGCAGTGAGGGCATAACCAGGTGCGCTTCCTCTGTAGTATACAGACAATAGACATGCTGAAGGGACCAGTAGCACAAATTGGTTCTTGGATAGAGACAGCGGCTGACTGTCTCTAACCTGAGTCACTTGGTACATGGGTGGGTGGCAGTGAACATAACGCAGGATGTAAATAGCCTCAAAAAGCGAATGCAGCCAGACTGAGATTGCATGAAATGAGCCCTAATTAAAATCTGGTTATCTTTGCACCACAAAAAGATGTCCATCTCAACAAGGGGATTTCATCTTGTATTAAGTAGATTCTATGTTCCAGCTATTCATTTTGTATCAGAATATCTTGAAGCAGCTGGCAATGCCCCATAATTCAGAAAGTCAAAACTTTCAGAAAACTTTCAGACAAAACAGACAACCAAAAATGTTTAACCTTGCAAGCAGTTATTTTCCCATTAGTTTTAATGAAAATAATATCTACATTTAAATAGATGGACATTTTTCTTGTGTGCTTTGGGGCGATACAGTACTTGGCATACATGCTTCAGCAGATGTAACAGGGAAGAGGAGACATACTTCTCTGGGAGCGGGTGCAACAGAATGCTCCGATGGTGCCCATGAGGACGATGAGGGCCACAAAAGCTCCCACGGCAATGCCGATGATCACTGCCACTGGGAGAGACTCTGCAGAGTGCAAAGAAGAGAAATGTCCTTCTACAATTACACGCTGCACATTAAATTCAATATAGGACAGAGAGTACACAACAGCACACAGTCAGAATGTAGAGGCCACCTTTCTCTTTCAGACACACGCACCAATTCTCCACGTCCCTCTGTCTTTTCTGTCTCTGCAGAAAACAGGGACTAAGGGAAAATGTGCTATATTTTATCCCTCTAAGTGACTTTGACATTATCCCTCAGGCACAAGGCCATGCAATAAAAACATGCTGCACAATGGCACTGAAAGAAATGGTCTGTACTGTATATCCAAATGACAGCCAATTCAAAACAAGAACTAATTATCAAACCTTTTGTCATCAGTGCGGATAAACATTTCCCTATTAATATTGTGTTATTATGCTATTGTCTAATAACTTTTAATTTACACTCATTTAGGCTGAGGGCTTTTATTTTTCACTGAGTGGAGTGCAAGAGTGTGTGCATTAGTTTAAGCATATAATCATGTTTGTGGGTTTCTGCAATGATGTTGCATTTGCAACAAGGAAGAGATTAAACCTGTATCTACATGGTTCTCCGACATTAAAGGTCCTCATTAAAGCACACTTTAATGATCTGAGTTACCAGCCCACGTTTATGACCTTCTCGCATTTTAAACAAATGCAAAACAACCGAGTGCTCTCCGTACACCATTAAAGCCTATTTAATGTCTTCATTGATCAATGTCACTTTCACATAAGCAGCTTATAATTTATCATTTGCGATAAGTGGATAGAAAACACAGCTTCCCCTACGGTAGAGGGGAAAAGGTCAACAGATAAATGTATTAATTTTTTAAGCAAAATAAATTGGAAATGTTTTAAGTTTCTCTTTCGCATAAATAAAGCACGAAGCACAGTGCATTTTATATTTACGGTGCAGTCTATGCTGAGGGTCACCAGTGCACATTGCCATGGAGTTGCAATCTATGTTAACCCAGAAAAATAATTTGTCAGGAATGTATCTGTGTCATCATCACATTTACAGTACTGTATATCAAACGTTTCAGAATTTAGGCCATGCAGTGTAACTTTGCAGTTCCAAATTGGTAAAAATGGCAATTTTGAACAACTTATTTCTGATCTAAAAAAAAACCACAACACGTAATGTAAAAAATATGTAAAAAATGATCATGATACATGAAAATGTCCATTAATTATAGACAACTAAAATGTAATATGTCTACTAAAATTTGTTGTTTTCATCATTTGTGCATCAACATTATCCATAGATGACCAATTTGTTTGCACATCTCATGCACACTTACACACATACACAAAAGCATATTCACACACAAACCTTATCACATATACTCACACACAAAGCTCACATGGCAGGTACAACCACAAAACACCACAGCTTTGTCACTATCTACCATATGTCACTATCTAGAAAACCACAGTCACGTGATTTGAAGAAGAGGAAGGTGGAACCTGTCGAACCTTGGCTCCCACCTTGTTCCTTCAAGCGTATGATCTCGGTGTCAGAGCCAAAGCTGTTCCATGCTGTGCAGTTATAGATGGTCTGGAAGTCAGCTGGGACAATGTTACTCATTGTCAGTGTGGAGATTACTCCTTCTTCTGTGGTGACGGTCTCCACGGTGTAGCGGCCAGATGTTCCAGACTCCAACACAGTTTCCTTCCATGACCAGGCCTGGTTATAGACAGAGGTTAAAGACGTGTTATGTATTATGTGACGTTTTTGAGCATTAGCTAAAAGAGAGGAAGAAGAAGACCTCTGAATGAAGAATGATGAACAATATAATTGCTGAACATCAGCATTTTAGCAATCTCGTTGTATGTTAGGGTATACATACATGAGTTTTGGTGATTACAAAAAATAACTTCTTTATTTTTTCCCCCAATGAAACCTCCTTGTATATAGTTTTCTGTGTAGTTTTGAAAAGTTACAGCCTGCAAGCTTGAAGGATTGCAAGCAATCTAAATATGGTTACTGACAGAAAGAATAGAAGCCTGTTCAACACCAGACTGACCACCACCTCTGACCCTGAGATCAACCGACCAAGGGACCTGTAGTATCCAGTTGTTAAAGCTGACCAAGCCATTACACACCTACGCTTTACACAATTGCCCGGTGTTGATCAGTGAATCCCCTTTGCCAGGATTGGAAGGTGTTCACTCAGATGCTAGCCTGGAGTCATTATGTTATTTCACCTGCATGTTTTTTGAATATTCGCGTACTATGGCTGCACCTTTATGTTGTATATCTCCATGGAAACACACATTCACCATGGATAGATGAACATATGGTCTTCTATTATGACATATGGTATATGTTACTGGTGTCAGTGCACGGACAGTAGTTAATTTTGTTTGGTGAACAGCTGACAGCAGTGAAGTGGGACTACACTGACAATGTTATATACTATTGTGATTGGTTAAAACACATCAGCACTCTGCCGTTTGCTGTTTAAAAAGCTGCCAGCTCACCAGGATAACTCCGGCATCTGTAGACTGAGCTAATGCCTGATGGATAATTGCAAATTGCATGTACTCTATGCAGATCTCTTCTCACTGCAGTGTTTGAATTACTGTGCTTTCTGTATTTTGGCTGTTGGGAGACCCATATTTAGACCCATAGTTAGAGCAGTGCTTGCTGTGAACTAGAGGGATATAAGAAGTGCATCACATTTTAAATACAGTAAATAATTATTATCCAAAAATAAAAATGACAACAAAGATTACACTGTAATAACAATAACACAGCCTTTAATGTATTTTAATTAATTTAGTAGCACAGTAGCATGTGCACTGCAAAATACTTTTTTTTAAAACACTTTGAAAAGACTATTAAAACATATATGTGGGGTCTTTGGGACGTTTGTCTGGGTTCATAACATTGTAGGCAAACAGCCAGTCTTATTTGTTAAAGTAACAAAACTAACAAGTCTAACTCCTTTCACTGGATCATAATGGGACAAAATAGATTCTAAGGTCTCTTTAAAAAGATGAACTACTATGCTGGATATACAGTTTTTAGATGTGAGAAATGTTAAGCATTTTTTTAAATTTATGCCAATTCCTTGATCAAACTCAATCTGTTATGTAATGCATTCATTTAAATTTATAACAAAAAATGAACATTTGCTGTGTCGCGAACAAAGAGTTGAGATCCTGTTCCTACAGAATATCTTGAATAAATGTATTTTTAAATAAAAGCAAAACAAAATGTCCAAAAATTGAGGAAGTTTGAGGTTCTCACAAGGCATCCTACGTATAAGGAAGTGATGGGTCTGACACATGATGGATTAATGTGAGGAGGCAAGCTGACACTTATTTCAGTTATGGAGTGCTATTATAATGTAATACATGCCATTTAGTCACTGCTTTTGTTCAAGGCACCTTAGTGCAGATTTGTTTTGGGTGAGAATTACAGTACATTATTTAGTTGTGCTGATTTTTAACTATCAGATGAGGAAATTCATTATACTAGATAGAAAGTGAGGAAAATGAATTGGTACTCTGAGGATAAACAACACATTCAACTTCAAGTTTGCAATACTGAACAAGTGGCTAAATAGAGTTATGAAATGCAGTGTTACAATGTTAAAAATGTTGCCTTGACAAAGCTGTTAATTGACTCCTATGATACAGATGACCAAAGTGAAGAGCTCTCTTTGCCCTTACTCATTAAATCTTTTGTGGAGTTTTTCATCATCAAGGTCTAAGAATAGAGGATGTTAAAAAGCCTGTAAATCCCTCTGAGAAATTTGTAATTTAAGTGAAATTGACTTGACAAAACAACATTACGTTTACACTCAACATTAATGTAGACATAAAGAAAAAGAAAGCAAAGCTGAATCCAGGATAAACATTTAAGACCCAGCAGCTTAGTCTCCATAGGCACACCTCTCAAATAAATCTGATATTAATTATGTTGCTAGTTAATGCTGGACGTCAATATAATAAAAACACACATTAAATGACAAAGTATGGCAATTATCTACATGCATATGCAAACACGCACACACAAATTAATAATAAGCGCAAAGTGAGCTCAGAGAGTGAGCTGTTTATATAAGGTCCATAAATCTTAATGGGATCAGTGCTAACAGAGCATAAGTGAGGGTTCAAACTGTAGTTTCACACCCATCTTTTCATATGAAAACAAATGATGACGCTAGTCCTATATAATTTATAAACTGATCTTTACTTGCCTGTGTTGTCCATGCATAGTTAACAGATCAATAGTTCAGTCAGGCATTATATTTAAGACACATATATGAAAAAGAGTGGTCAGTATACTATCTAATTTGGATTGTTACATAAATGATTATAGTTGCGGATGTGTCCTTGCAATAAAATCAGGCAAAGTTGAGACAAAGATGAGATCGTAAAATAAATAAATAAATAGACCAGATGTACTTACAATCCGGTCTGGAGGAGGTGTACTTCGAATGAAACATTTTATTTGTCCTTTTTCTCCATGTAAAGCTTGCTGAGTCTGTGTACTGGAGATAGTAGGTGGCCCTGAAAAAGAACAATCATAAAAAAGTTGGAAGATGAGTCACAGAAATTGAAACATGAATAATTAAATTCATTTTTCAGTTTCAGGTCATATGACAATTCAGCTCAATCGAGTCTTTGTGGTACATTATATTCCATAATTGCTCTCCTGTTCCGAGCAGTAACACCTGAAGTGTTCAGTAATTTGGGACTCCTGGGGAAGATTGTATTGCGGTGTGACATGAACATGCCTCATCCCTGGGTACAATCTACCCAAGGACACGCCAGGACTGAACGAAGGGCTTAAGTTGGGGCCCAGACCTCATTCTGGATCAAGAAATTGTTGATTTATGGCTGGCTTGATTTTTCCCACGGAGATAAATGTCGCTGGAGAGAGCTACAGTGCAGCAGTTCTTTGGAGCGTATTCAGGACTACAGAGAAGGAAAGGCATACAAATGCTATTGTGGGAAGATAACACACTTGTCACAGTGTATCACCTCAATTTGCTTGCAGTAGATTTGACCTCTGAACCAATAGGCTAGCAAATAACCAAACATCCAGCCCCAGCTCTAATACACAATCCAACATTGGCTTGTATGAATTACTAAAACAGAACATCCATCAAAACACTGTATGACAAAATACAATAAGTTTTATCTTATATTGTGTTTTTATCCAGTGTGTTCATTCTGTAACTGTAAATAAAGCTTTTATAACCCCTAAAAGGTGTTCTGTAAAATTATCTTAAAATAAGTCTTATAAAATGGAATGTCTTTTGGAATTACAAAATATATAACCGGGTTAGTTCTGTCAACAGGATCTCCAGGTATGGACTTTAAGCCAGCATGTATTAAACCGTGGTCAGGATACAAGATCTTGCCTGACAAGGGCAGCTCAGCCTAAACGACTGGTCTGCTTGCCATCTGGCCTGGAGGCTGTCCACGCCAGGTGACAGCGCTAATATGAAGACAAGATGTCACACATGACCCAATTCTGTCTTTCAAGTATATTTTCCCTTTGGTCCTGAAGAGCTCACTGTAAGTTCAATTCCAGATGAGCAAACTACAGAGGCAACTGTTTACATTTACATTGATTTTACATATAAATTGATGCAATTACAGTACAAGTTCCAAAGTTCCAAGCTTATTTTTATATTATTTCAAATATAGTGATTCCAGATTACATTGTATAGCAGTTTACAAGAGATGTATGTAGACTGCTGATTAATCCTACTGATTTAAAATCTGCACAATGGAGAATCTAGTATTTTTCTTTAACTTACCTTTCTTTTTCATTTTATGTTTTTCTGATCTTTTCATATGCATTTTGAAATTATTTGTCTTATGTGTTTTTTTTTTTTTTTGGAAGAATTTTTCTCCGTTCCCATCATTACTCAACAATGTTAAATTTGGACCTCTTCAGAAGACAGAAGTCGAACCACAACCAGTCTGACTAAATCACTCATGTTCAGAGTTTACACACAAACAAACTGATATATATCTTATATATATATCTTTAGCTTTAAAAACTTAAGATGCCACCACATGTTTTTTTCAAGGAAACCTGGTAAAAAAAGAAACTTAAAAAGCTGTTTAAATCGAACATTAAACAAGTCTGTTGTGATGGTTAAGGTTAAGAATGAGGGTTTAAGGGGCTGGCAAATGAGGCAGCTTCTTGATTAGTCAGACAACTCGCTTCTCCGCCAACTTCCCTCAAACTCTCGCTCTCTGCCATCTCTCTGACGATACATAATTGCAGTTTATTACCTGTCTCTTATTAAAATGAATTAGCATTTTAATGAGCCTTTGCCAGATGGTGCTTTGGTATGCTACTGGAGGATGCTGGAAGGCTGCTACTGCTGCAAAATCAATGCTGCAGACAATTTAAGAAAAATGTATTGAAAGCTGCTCCCTTATTTCACTAGTTTGCCAACATAGAGTGACAGTGTTAGTACAGCATGTATGTGCTATGGTTCAAATGAGGACATGTTTATATGCAGTGGGCATGCACAAACTTGTGATGAGGAGATGGAGAAGTGTAAGTGTGTGGTTCTTAAGAGCTACAACTATACAATACAAGATCAATTGCTTGCAGGCTGCAAAAGGCCAATGGTAGTGACCGGGGAGGATCTATTCCATGGATCAGAACTGCAAATGAGGAATATAATTAGATAGCTTTATCTCACTGGCTCAGCCTCGGTTGAAAGTATGTGTGTGTGTATGCCTGTGTGTGTGTGAGTACATGTTTGCTACTCAGACTATGTGATCAGAGCACAAACACGTTGGTAGCAGGGAGGTGGGTGGCACTACAACATCAATGTTAGCAGCAGGGGAGGTAATCAAAATGTTGGGTGCAATGTTTTGCTCATTCATTTGAGGAGGTGTTAACTCTGGAGTGGACATTGCAATCTGATTACACAATATCAGTGTGGGTGTCGAAAGGCCAGGGCTTACATTTCCTTCCTAAACTGAGGCATCCGCTTTGAACAAAAGCTTGACATTTCCTTGCTACCTCGACGCAGCTCTTTTGATTTCTCTGTTTTCTTTTGTGTTAAAAGAGAGCACAAAACAGCTACAGGGCAACTGAAAGAAAATGGAAGGAAAATGTGGCCACTAGTGACCACTCTAGACATTTTCCTTTGGGAGAAATCCATGATGAGGAGGTTCAGTCTATATCTTGAAGCTGACAACCGGAATCAGTGCTTATTGTTAACAAAACAACAGTTTGTGAAATGAAATATACCATCTTCCGTTTTTGGTGTATATTTATACTCAAGTATTACTCCAGTGGAGACTTTAAATATCAAACTGTACATTGTGACTCTTTTAGTTATTTCACACAGTCCAGTCATGCTGTAATGTGTCCGCACATAGAAGAAAGGAGTAATCAGATACAGTTTAGTGTGTGAGTATATTGTTATTATATGGCTTGTTATCATTGCTAGCCTATAGCAATATTAGGGTAATCCTCCTGCTGTTTTATATCCACTGTTCTATATTAGATTAGCAATACTAAATCAGAGTGGATGTAGAGCCCAAATAACAAATAATTTCATCTTCATCCCTAATTGGTCAGTTTAGGTGGTCATTGTGTTTAACTTATGCAGAAATACACACTTTATAACACTGAATGCTCTGGTAGCCTCACTGCATTTGCCTGCTTTGGCTCATCCAAAACTTAACAACATAGACCAGAATGCCTCTTTTCCTGCTTACAGTGTGAGCCATACACTGTCTTCACTTCACACTGTGAAATGCAATTAATGTAACACAGTACAGATGGCACAGGCCAAACACTGTCATTGTTTCATTTCAGCCACAATTAGTGCTTTATCCAAATTTGCACCTACTGGATGATACTGAAAGCTTGATTTCAGTCAGTATTTGCAAACAGTCTTGAGTCTTTATGGTATGGTCATATTAACAGAAAACATAAACATAAACTATGAACGCCTATCCCCTCCAGTTACCAGATATATATTTTATTAGCCTGTTTTGAAATTATATCTGTGTTATGGGATCCTCATTATGTGACCAGATGAAGAATCAATCAATCAGCTGAAATCCATTGATTCTACCTCATTACTTGTACCTCCAAACTCCATCCCACATCTCGCTTTATAAACATGCCAAGGAAATAAATGAAAGATATGAGTATAGACAGCTCAAGTGACAGCTACATGTAAAGGGAGAAGTCACTTCAAAGTCTTGCAGATCATATCTTATTATGCTTGCAGGTCAGATAAATGTGCTGTATCTTAAACGCAGTTTTCTCCTTCATTAACTTGCACTTTTCTTTCTTATACGGTGTTATCACCAGTTTAAAGAAGGCTGGAATGCTAATTAACTAGGCACATAAAGGCTGTCTAGAAAGAGAAACAGCCCAAAAAAAATATCTATAACAACCCAGTGCTCTGTGGGATATTGTGGGATTCTTCGGCCCTCCCTCTCCCTTAGTGTGGTAATGGGCTTTCTCTCCCTAGGCTGCCCAAGTACTGTATGTGTGTCATTATGAGACAGCCACACATACTAACAAACTCAAATAGCTGCCCAGATCTACTCATACTTGTGGATATATTAATTAATATGTATTGTGTATATATATGGTCCTCAAGTATACAAGCTAAATCCTTTCAAGCATATCAGATAAGTTCTCTCAATTCCAACTTCTGCAGGACTATGGAAAAAAGCCATACATATATATTATCTGCTATATAAATAATCACACGCATGAACGTGCACAGCCCCCCTTCATACATGTAGCCACATGATGACCGCATTTGAGATGCTGAGGAGCTTTCCATTCTGAAAATGTTTGACTAGAGTAAGCAATATGTATCCATTAGTGACTTAAACACAAACTGCCTCCCCTGCTAGCTGTTTGATTATAATTAAATTGCATTCTTCCCTAGGGATAGCAGGAATCCTCATGTGTGGCATGCCACAGTGGGAGCCAGTGACACACAACGGCAGAGAAGAGAGAGACAGAAGGAATGATAAAGTATAAACACATGTAATTTAAATGATGGCATTAAGGAAACCGGGGGATAACTGCAGGGAAAACAAACAGCAAAGAAATATTCAAATGTGCAGCAGACATCGTATCATGAATACTCTAAATATGCGTAACATTGCATGATAGTTACTGCACCATGGTCGTCCTCCCTAAAAGCTCGCTCATCCGTTATGTTAGTCATTCACTTTCAGAATCAATTGAGTCAGTGAGGTTGGGCGTATAGGCTGATGAGAGGTACAGAGTGCTCACATTCATCTCCAGTTAGAGACAGTGGCATAGGACAATCAGTGAACCTGAGGAGAGAGCCACCACCCCACACATGCCACCACTTCAACCGCAGTGTTTGCACTTTCACAAGTTTGACAATCTGATTCGCCTCAAGGACCGGGTAGGAAATGACTCAGGATTCCTTATGTGGTTTGGAAAAAAAGAAGATGAATTTAAATTATTCAGGAGGGTAAAAAGGAAGGTTTTTGAATGTCAAATACCAATTCAGGTAGGATGGTGCACGATGCAAAAGAAGAGAGGCGGAATATACACACATAATAAGGCTAGAAGACATCTAAAACTTGCTTGAATGAAGTCTGCAGAGACTAAATAAACATGCCGTTTCAGCTTTGTTGTATGTTTCCCAGTGTGCTTGGGGTTGTGTTGTGTTCTAATCTTTATTAAAACAATCAATCTTCTTTCTCTCATGGCATCATTTTCAAAAAACAACACAATCTCAATAGTTACATGAGCAGGAAAGAAAGAGATACATCAATATAAAGTGGTGCGTTGGATATTGTGTATTCTGTATTCTATTACGGCTGCAGAAAGAATGCCAGTACAGGTTGCTATCAACACAATGGGACACAAAAGAATTAGTCATGATTTTTCCGTACGCCTCTTCTGCCTTGATTTCAACTGAATTTATGGTTGAGAAGGAGGGGGCTCATTGCAGTTCATAGAAAGTCACGGTACTGATCTTGCGCTGGAGGGAATACTGGTATCCCACTCTCTCTGATATGCAAAGCTAGCGTCGGGGTTTTGAAAAGAAAATCTTTACACACACTGTTTGCTACTGGATGTATCTTCATCCCCAAATAAGCACCAGTGTTGCTTACAGGCAAACTCTTTTGTTGGCTTTGGAAATGCAACACTGTCAGCATTAACTCAACATCATCACACCAGTGTCTTAAAACCCCCTCATTTTTTTTTTTGTTTTTGTTTTTGTTTTGTTTTTGTTTTTTTTGGGGGGGGGCAGGTTTCTTTTAGATGGACACAAGGAAAATGAGAGACATGTAAATACCACAACTAAGAACCTCTGCCTCACTGAAGCATGCTCCCTGAATATCAAGCACTGATAATGAAGTCATTTGTTTGAGAGTTGCCAGGTCTCCACCAAGGCTGGTATTCATTAGTCAGTCAGCGCCTCAGAAAAGGCAGCTTCCCTGTGACTCACATGGAATATAATTAGCGTTAGTACATTTCACCTGTTTATGAAATGTGCGACCATATCTTGAAAAGACCATGGCTATATTTATTGCTTTTTCACATTTAAAGGCTGGAAAATGATGACAGTTGATGAAACAGCTCTGTCGTATGACATTGCCTTTGTCGGGAAAATTAATTTGTGTCTCATCCTTGTGTGTGTCAAGGCTTATCGTTTGTTTCTATACTTGGCAGGTAAAATTAACCATATCTCTAGGAAACTGCTATACCTACTAACAAGAAGACTACGGGAGAGAAATAAAACTGCATATTCTATTGGAAGTTTTACAGACGGAAGGCTTTTGTAAATCACAGAAGAAGCAGAATACTGACTCCTGTGACAAATTGCTTTCTTCTTGCTGCCGTTGACCTCAGACCTTAAGATTCGCACAATGCATTTGACAACTGTGTGGCTGTGCATCTGGGCCTATTTGTGTGAAAGACATATCAATAATACAGCTTACCATTGACGGTGAGAGAAACCTCCTTCTCCCCTGCTCCTACACGCGGGACCACAGCCCTGCAGACGTATTTCCCAGCATCCTCCTGTCTCACGGATTTCAGTGTCAGGAGGTTCTCATTGCTAAGAACCTGCGGCAAAAAAGTGAAAGATCATCAAATGCAATGGCAGCAAAGGCACCTTCGCATCTGAGATAGCAACAAGGCAGCGCAAAGAAAAGCCAGCAAATGGACCATTTAATACCTTAAAGGGCACTTCTCCTCAATTATTAAAATCCAATTTAGGGTCTGAGCTCAGTGAAGTAAAGGGGTTGACTTTGGCCTTTGATGTTGACAAAAGGAAAGGTGGAATGAGTCTGAATTTTGGATCAAATCAACAGATCTCATGTGAAAACAGGTCACATAGAGGCTGGGACTGTAATGGCCTTGAAATCTTTGGTTTAATGGACTTTTTTTTATCTGAGAAAGTCACCAAGACAGGCTTTATTGGAGAAAAGCAGCTTTCGAAAGCCAGTATGCGATTGTTTATCAGACATACTTGGTAGCAGTGCAAATCAATATACTCACCACTCCAGATCCCCGCTTCATCCACACTATAGTAAGAGAGGGATTTCCTGTCCAGGCGCAGTTGAACACAGCGTCAGATCCAAGATCCACCTGCAAGGACTGAGGCTCCGCAGACATGCGAGGACCAACTGTTGAAATAAACATCATTAACTATCCACGATTGATCCATAATTAAGCATCAGCTATGGTGGCACCAGCTCCTGAAGCTCAGTGTCAAAATATACATGACTGTAAAAATAACCATGCAATATCACGTTGCTAGCATCATTGAAGGGCATGCAGCATTGCTTATTCACTCACAGTAGACGTCAACGTTGCGGCTGATGTTGGTGCTGCCAAGAGGGTTGGTAACCTCACAGGAGACAGGCTCTGTAAAGAAGGAGTGGTCCACAATAACCTCATACGTGTCTCCAGAGACCTCCTTGATTATGCTTCCCCCTTTGGCCCACCTAGTGAGAGGATTAGAAGGCACAGCAAGGAGAGACGGTAAGAAATGGAAAAATGAAGCAAAAGGGGAAAAGGCATTAAGACAGGTTTTTACACCTCCTTATGTCAATAGCATTCTTTTGTGTGTGAATAAATCATCATTCTAGGGCAGGTTTTTCTGTGCTGGCTTCAGCATATTTTTGTGGCAGCCCTCCATGCTGTGACAAGCTCCCTGGCGACTCGGAGCAGACAGCACGTTCCTCATTACGCCAGGCAAAGAGCGCAGCACAGAGTGCCAGCTAAGAAAAACAAATCACAGAATGACAAATGGGTTGCTCCCCCACCTATGAAGACGTTGGTTGACACATACTGTATTACACACAACAGCTGATGTTAATAAATTGACATGGGATCACATAAAGAACATCTGCTTGTGTTTGTGAATGATAGCTTCTGTGACAGGGATACAGACACTCCCCACGTGTTTAGGTGAGACTTTTATGATGTCACGAGCGGCGGCGAATCGCTCTGCGTGGTGCGGATGGCTCTCTGCTACTACAACAGACAAGGCCCATTTATAAAAGTGAAGCGAAGGCATCTGTGGATGTCATGGGTCTCTTTGGAAAATTTAGACGGTGCTGTGGGACATGCAATGCATCATGCATCTAAACGCTGCCATCCTCCACAATAGAGTTGTGGCTGCATGCTGATGTGGCAAATGAAAACAATGACAACGGAGCTGGTGCCTGTCTCCATTTTATATTCCTGCCAGTACTGAGAGCAGTTTTCACAGGATAGGGAACTCATTTGTTTTCCATGACTAAGCTGGCCCTATGCTTGACTGAAATGCTATCATTTAAATGAGAACAGATTACCTCATTCAATCAGTAAGTGAAGTGAAGCAGAATTCTAATTGGGCTTCACAGGATTTTTTTGCGCTTTTTTTCTCCAGCAGTAGATCTTTTCGGAGTTGTGTTCTTGTGTGACAAGGATACAGCTAAGAGCTCTGCAACACCTGTGTTTCCAAAAATGTTGAAAATGGGGCAGACGGGTGGTTTTGGCCTGTCTGATCCGGTAGTAGTAGTTCTTGTATAGTGTCTGTGTGTGTGTCAGCGAGTATGAACAGATGCATACCCTAGATAGCTTTGAGACAGAATAGTGTACACACTTTATATCTGCAAAGTCTCATTCTTCTAGTTGCAGAATATCATATTACCAAAGTATTAGCGTAGGAAATCAAGTGCATGTTGAAAGATTAAAAGAATGCGAGAACCATTATGTTAATGATGATGACTGTTGTTGTTCATAGCAGTGTGTCTCTGAATGTGAATATCATTAGAAATGTTTCCGCTGCTGTTTATATGACGATGATGATAAAGATGATGACGACGATATTAATTACTTTGGTTATCATGATGAAGACGATAATGACGATGATTAAGATGATGACAACAGTGATAACGATGATGAGGATGATGATGAGAATGACGACAATGATGACAACAATGATGATGATAATGTGAACTGCATTGGTGATGAGTTTCAAAGTTCACTCTTTCTCTCGGAAGCAGCAGTCGACAAAATAACCCCTCCTCACCGTTACATATCATGGCATTCATCATCAGATGTATGTATGTATTTTATGGAGCACTTTGAGGACTTTTTTTGTTCACTTAAAGGTAGAGTTTCAAGGTTCATTCTTGTTTTTTGAAAAAGGCAGCTGGCAAACAATCCTTTAAAAAGGTCCATCTAACGGTTGTCCTTTTGAAGAACTTCTACTACAGGGACATTAAAAGAGCTGGGTCTGCCATTCTTTGGTGATGGTGGTGATCATGATCATGGTCATGATTACTCCACCGTGATGACAACAACAATGCGTGACGCATATATCGGTATGTTTCCACCTACACCTTACCAGCTTGTACTGTAGGAGTTGCAATACACAGATGTTTGGGCAGCCGGCTGCTCCTGAGTGGAGGTTATGCCTGCCAGGTTTGGGAGCCCTTGATAGTGTTAGAGGGAGCAGAGACAGAATGCCGTCATCCTCGGGGAGCATGGGAGCTCTGTTGGTGTGCTGGGCCTTTTCCAAGACTCATGTCTAAACATAGCTGGCCCAGGGTAACACAAACACCTGGATTTCCCTTTGGGAGGTTAGAAGGGCCAGTGCAAGCTTACTCAATAGCTGACTCACTTTACACTGCTGTATCCTACTCAGGAATTTGATTCAGACAAAGGGTGTGAATCCTGTACACTAGACAGAGTGTGTGTCTGTGTGTGCAAGCACATGTGCGTACAAGGTGTGTGTTTTTGCGTGTGCGTAGGTCTGCAAGCTAACACTGTTATAAAGATAAACAGGTCTGCTGTTAATGGAAGCAGAGGATGAAAGGGGGGGAGAGTTTTGTATTTGCTGAATGTGATTAAGGCAATAAAACAGTAACAATTAAATTAGGCAGGTATCTGTGCCATCAGCATCGAGACCCACAGTAAATCAGGCCCCACAGTTATTATCAGCATGGTTAAGCAGAGCACAGTGCAGCTCCATTTTCCCTTTCATGGATATTGTAAGTGATGACTGTTGAATTCTCAGTGGAATATAAAATAAATAGGCAGGTTTTAGTAAGAGCACGCTGTGATTTTGACATGGGCATACATTACATAGCAGTTCCAAGATATGCATTATGATGTCTATACTAACTATTCGAAAACATTGTGCACCTGAAAAAAAGTTGGGAATAACCTTGAAAAGTCAGGAGTAACCAACTTTTTGGGGGTTTCCGGGGGACTTTTTTCTGACTTTCAAGGTAACGTTTTATGGTTATTACTTTTTATGTGTAGTCCCAACTTTTCAGGGTAATTTTAAACTTGTCTGGGTCTCATTGATTTGTACTTTTGCAGGACTGCTGCACATTCATCTACAATTTTGCAATTATGTTGTAAATTACTGAGCCATTCACATTTCAGGTGTTGCACCCAGGCACTTATGCTCTTTTAAGTAACACTATACAGTAACACTACTTTCTTTCACATAGTATATCTGGCTGCATAATAATGCGGATAGGGGAATAGAACTCTTGTCCACAAACAGACTGTGCCATGTATCAATTAGCTACCTCCAAGGTTTCCAAAGAAGGAGGTATGGTGATTGTAGTGTCAGTCAAAAGCAAACAAACAACACAGCAGTAGCAGCAACAACACTGAGAATATAAGAGTGAGGAGGATTGGGATGTTATTTGCTGCAGTGCCATGCAAAGGAGGGGGTTTTGTTGTCGCTCCATGCACGGTTGTATGTGCAGACGAGGGACCTGATTTGCTGTGTTTGTTATTCTTTCTCTTCTCTCTGGTGGGTTCTTGTTTGGATCTGAGAAAACCGTCTGTGTCTTCATCAGAGGGTGGTTGAGTGATTGTGATGTATGCCAGTTAGCCCTCCTACCATTATAAACAGTAATGAAGATGTTCCGACCCACTCGTCTTTCCCTCTCTGGAGTTCTGAGTCCCTGAGTGCCAACTGCAACACATGCCCATTACTCTTACTTCATTCACACTTTCAACATTACTTTTATCCTCTCTTCTAACCCCCCACCTCTCCAATGCCCTGACTTCCTCCCTCTTTACTCCCCCCCATTGAGCTGTTTTCTGGCAAATGTTCAGGTATCTGTAGGAATATATATTATTTCCATTTTCACATTTAAAGTCAGATTTATTGAACCAGTGTGGCAATCACGAGGGGTTGTAGGCAGCAGAAAGCACCATGCCTTTGACTAGTGCCCCACTATCTTGGGTTTGTGTCTCAAGTGTCCATTGAATTGGAGGATGGCAAAGTGGCGCAGTGCACATTGGGAATGGATGGCTCTCTCGAGGATAGAAAAGAGGCCATCCGTCTAAGAACTACTCTGTCCTTGTGCCGTATCTGATCTGGGGTAGACAGAGTGTATTAGCACTGAAAAATGGCCCCACACTGCTTGACCAGCTTCCTGCTCTCCTCTGTGATATTGCTCTCTAGAGGGGGAATTTGTGGGGGGCTCTCCCTAGTCAAAGTCTCTCAGGCAAGCATTATGAGGCCAAAAACTCCCCTACCTACCATACCCTGAACTCTAATGGTGCACGGTAGTCCTGAAGCGCTTGTATAAATTGCAGATAAATCTAAATAGGAGACTATAAAACGGGATAACTGGTGGAGAGTATAACCTTGAAGTATCACAAGTTATTAGTCTTTGTGGATATTATTTAATCCTACAGTGGATTGTTTCAATGACAGAGAGCCAGATAGCTGAGAGAAAGCGAGAGAGAAAAGAAAAAAGGGAAGAAATAAATTACATAAAGGGAAAGTTCAACCTCCAACCTTTTTTTCATTCTGTAGTTTGTCAAACTAAAAGAAAAAGTCATCTCAACAACCACTGCATCTTAGCTCTGATACCCTGGGGAGAAGTCTGATTCTAGCATTGATCCAGTCTCATAACAATAGAGGTGAAATCCCTTTGCAGGTGCAATAGACGTCCTGTCTATGCTGCGCACCTACACAATCAAATACAAACCTTGTTTTCCACAATATCACTGCCCTCCCTCCTCCTTTTCTTTTTCAAAAGGGCAGAATCTATCAAAAAGGCAACATCTCTGTTTTGCCACCTGTGAGTGTGTTGTACATCCATTTCATTTCCCAGTACCATTACAAGATTCAGAGCCGGCCAATTCCCTTTGCTATCGATTTTATTACATTTATTTTTCGCCGGGTTTTTAGAACCTCCCACACAGAAAACCATCTGTTGACAAATCACTTCAGTATTACACTTCTAGATGGCCATGCAAGATTTTATGAGAATAATTACTGTCCATTTTGTTGTATCATACCAATTACAGATGTAATAAGAAAAATACACAATTGATTCTAACAAGTGTAACTGAGAATGTGTCTATGAACAGGGTTTAATAAACAGAGGAAATGGAGAGGATTGCAGATTTACATAAGGTTAAAGAATAGCACATTAGGGTTATTATTTGTTTATTTTGTTTATTTCTATTTTTTAAATTTTAACCTAACTTTAACTTTATTTTATAAGTGCCAGGTTATGTTAATTTTCAGTATTGTTGTGAAGCAACTTATGTTTTGTATTTTAATGGAAACAGGTACAGGGGCTGCTTTATGTATTTGAATGAACCATTATTAAACATGTATATATATATATATATATTATTTGAATACAAGCCCAGTTTCCAAGCACTGTACATTTTGTATGATTCTGTACAATTTATGTGTAGTGCCATTGTTGAGCCATGTAAGTAATACTGTTTGTGCAGCAAAGTAAAGGTGTGCAGGTTGGAGTGGTGGATAGGAGTCTGACTGTCCACCACATATTTTTTTTACAACCACAATCTTTCTCTAACCGTACTGCAGGTGTTAAGCTAACCCATTATAGAAATATTGATAAAAAAGCATTTCAGTCAGGACCACTTTCGTCAAAATATCTTATATTCCAAGCAGAATTACATTTGGCGGTATGGCTCTGTTCTGGGACGTCCTTGTCCTTCCACGTGCCTACGTGGAAAACCTTAAGGCAGGGAGAGCACACCTCCCTGCCCTTCCATGTGCATACATGGAAAAGTTTAAGACAAGGAGAGCAGCAGCAGAGACCCCCAGGGTACAGAACAGAGCAGCATCAATGGCAATCAGAAAATGACATTGATTAATTAGAAACAACATAAAAAGGAGGAGCTGGGGTGGAGGTGGGTGCAAAAGGCTTGTAGAGGAGCAGCAGAGATAGGCAGGCAGGCTAAAGCAGCTTAAATAAGGCGCCATGCATGATGTTTGCCAATTGGATGCTTGAGGAAATCAGGTGAGCTGTCAGCTGACTGTGTATAGTATCCAATGGGAAGCTTAGAGGAATCAGCTGATGTATGTTTATGACTAGCTGTGATCGTATGATATAGCTGTAACTGAAAGCTAAGCCTGACTTTGTGCCCTGCCTGAACTAATGCTATGCTCAATTTGATGAAAATACAAAAAGATGTTGCTGTTATTCAATATCAACATGTTGTTCTGTTCTGAGATAGGGTTAAAAGGTCTGTACAGTTAGTTGAAGCACGAAATAGACAGCGATCTAAACTTGTATTGATGCACTACTATAAAAGGTACAAAGGTGTTTGAAAAACAGCCTTAGAAAGCATTGAAATCCCTTGACATGTTCTATATCTTTTGCTGTCGCAATTTAAAGTTAAAATGAATCTAACTGGCTGACTGCCACACTGAAAACATGTCTCAAAACTGTTTGCAAACTTATTGAAAGTGAAATAATGAAGAGTAATCTTTAGGGCATTCATTCCTTTTGCAGCACTGGGACACTGAATTCAATCTCCACATTCTTGTTATCTTGGTTACCAAACATAACCATATAATAATTTTAGTCACACAAGTATCTATCCCCATCACCCAAAATCATCCTGTAGCTTCACAGTTGGAATTATGTGTGATTAGCAGGGTCCAGGTTATTTTAAGTTTTTAAGTTTTTTTTTTTACACTTTTGGGTGAAGTGCAATTTAAACTTTTTTATCAGAATAAAGTATCGTTTGCCTCAAGATATTTTAATCTTCTTGGTCATGTGCCATCTTGCCAGCTTGCCGAGTTTAGTTGAAAGACCACGTCTTATGACGGTGAAGATCCGTGTTTCCATTCCTCCTCACACTGAAGCATTATGTTACGGTATGAACTCACTGTAAGCCATATTCAACCACTACTGCACAACACACGCATAAAAAACACTAGCAGACCCCTGGGGGGAAACCTGCCTTCCTGCTATATAGTGTGGAGCACAACCTCATCTCAGAAAAGCTGTAATCTTGACAGCTTCATCAGATGTCATGCACATTATGTTTCCAGCTTTCCCCCAAAACGCTGATGGACATTTAATGTTCAAGGGAGATGATATGACCACAAAGCAAACAGCTATGCAACAAAACACTGTATTGCTTTGCTTCAACCCAGTGGAACATGACAAGGTTTCCCAAATGAGTGTTCTGAGGTGTATTTTCATTAAATTTTTCAGCATGACAGTGTTTCATTGTTTTTCTTCTCTTCATTTCAAAGTGTGGGTAGATATAATGGTGTCATGGCATCATAAGAATGTGTCTGACAATGATTAATGCTATCAGTAATGAAGTGTTAAATTTATAAAAAATTATCATCCACCACAAATACTGGCTAGAGAATACCTCATTTAAAGTTAACTGTACCACCTTTTCTTTCTATTTTGCATTACAAGATTGCCCATGTTGTGTGCATTCATGATTTTTGCATGTACTCTAAAAACACTTCTTTTTATGATCTCACCTGTAGAGTGTGACAGGAGGGTTGGCCTTTGCAGAGCAGTGGAATTTCACAAGGTTGCCCTCCAGAACAGGCTGAGGCTCCACTGAGAGATTGACAAGAGGGAGATCTGAAAAAAAAAATAAATAAATAAAACATAAGAGACACAAAGACAACCAATTACAGAACTGGCAGTCTCATCAAACATCCTGTTGTGAACTGTAAGCCTGAGACAAACACTATGTTGTTGACATTTTCTGTCGGTGAATAAAGCTCAGAAAGAAAATATGGCATACATTTTTGCAGAGAAGACAAAACAGACAACTTATAAATAGTTTAGAAAACATGCAACTCAAAAGAAAACAGCCAAACACACCAACATGCAAAATACATTCTCAGTTCAGGGAACTTACATTTTCCAAATGTTTTTTCTTGTGACCCAAAACTGATTTGGCAGTCTTTTATGTTGGTGTACCACACATAGAGTACTGCAGGTAAATATGCTCCACTTAAAACCACTAGGACTTTTTATTCGGATTATTTCAAAATACACGGTGGAAGAACTGCTGTGACAATTTATCACAGTTTGTGGCAGCATTTTCTCCAGAATAATAGGCAATTACCCCTGAATAATGATGCCCTATATTTGTTATCTTCCTACCACCCACCTGGGGTCTAGGCCCAGTTGCTGTGTAACACTGTAGTGTGTTTCACAGGTGTGGAAGAAAACATGTTATTTTTACTCTATTTATATTCATTAGTAATGTTATATTAACGAATCAAAGGAAAACTTGACTTGATAATGAGTTTCAGTAAATGGCAATTTAAAACACTGAATAGTCAATAGTGTAATCCACTGCAATTAAAACAATGAACAACCTCTGTGATACAGTACAATTAAAACAGTTCTTAGAATAACAAGCATAGAGATTATGTAAATCTAATAAACAACTTAATTTATCCTAATTGACAAAGGTGGGATTCTTTTTGAAGATACGTGTTAATTTCCATATCAATCCTGTCCCATGTGAAACAAACAGCTATTTACCCCGCAGACTCAGGCAATGAATTTCAAGTAGAAGAAGCTATTTGTCAGGGTTTATAAAAGGGGCCGGTTACATTTTGTTGTTGTCAAATGCAGCAAGGTAAGAATTGACCAAACTGACCTGCAGCTGACCAGTAGTAGCTGTTTAGTATGTACAATTTTCCACATTAAAATGTCATGAAACAACAATTGGCTAGTATGAGTGTCTCATGTTATAACACTTCAATTACTTGTAAAATAGTTTGTACAATCATATCTGTAAGGCAGACTGTGAGTTGGGTATATCCATTCATATCTGACCCTACCTTAACCCCATGAAATAATACAAAAATAAATAAATAATAATTACACATTACACTACCAAGGAAGTTATGTATACACATAGCAGGATAACTGTTTTCTGAGTTTCCACCTCCAAAGCGCCATAGTAGGGCAACAGATTAGTCACATGGGAGAAGAGCTGGTTCTGGGTTTGAAGCTGGTGCAGCCATCTGTTTCAAAGGTGTACTAAGTCTTTCTGCTCTGTGTTCAATAATACTAATGTACTAACCAGGGACTGTGTTTGGATGTGGATGAAGAGCAGTGGTGGGCATGGAGATCCACACAGAATTAAAGAAGCACACAAACACTGCTGTAATGAAGCCACTGTGCATAGTTATGGAGAGTGATTCTGTGTGTGTATGTGTGTGTGGGCATGGAGTGTAGGAAAACTGCTTTTTGCCCTGTGGCTGTGCAGATGCTCTGGGCTGGCTCAGCTGCCATAAAGCCCCAGAGAGGGGGGTGGTCCAGGTGCCATATTCCTTCCTACTCACACACACCATATTCCCCATCAGCAGACTTATTTCCCTCCTAGACAGTTGCCCCCCACCCCCACCAACCACTCTACCACTTTCATATCCATGAGCCCCACCTGTGCCAGTTCTCCCCAGGCCAGTAAAGAAAACAACAACATTGTGGACCCTGGAAGACTGAAGGCCCAAGTGAACCAGCAAGTCTCTCCAGGTACTGAGCAGACTGTGTCTGTGTATTTGAATTTCAGGCACATGTTTAAAGGGGGGTATGTGTGTGTATGAAAGGGCATGTGGGTGTGTGTCATAATAAAACAGGAAACCTATCCACGCCTTAAGCAGTAGCGTTAGCTGCCCAGTAGGTGTTTTTTAGCATTGCGAAAAGTTAATTGCATGGACAAAAATGTCGGCAGAAGGAACCTCAGGGGCAAAATGACAGATGTGGCAGTGGTGGAGGTGGTAATAAAACAAGGAGCTGGAGAGTAAAGAGAGAGGCAAACATAAGAAGAGAGCAGGAGGGGGTGGGGTACACTAATAGACACAGTGTATGCGTAGAAGTTAATTGTAGAAGCTAATTCACAAGCCTTTTTGAATAAAAGTGTTCCTATAATATACTTTTCTATCATGCCAACCTTTTTCTCTGCTCTTGCAGCCAAAAGACTTCTAAGGACACAAATACTCATTACTGTCAATCTGGCTACTAATTATGTTATTTTCAAATGATTGAGGTCTAAAAACTGACCATTCCTTAAAAAACGATCTCGGGCCCTCTCACTAAGAGGTAGTGTCATGACGACTTTACATCTATCTCTAAGTCAGTCCATGTCTCTGCAGAATTGCAAGCAAAGATACCCATGAGAGCTACAGCTATCAAACATCTTCCAGCAAAGGCCCAGGGTGTGAATCAGGCACTGTCACTTTTCTAACCTTTGACACTTCAGATATGACAGACATCTACTTAATAATGAAGTCAATTTGCCACTTTGATGTATAAATGCATGAGTTGCTGAGTGAATGCTTTTGAGGCATCATGCGACGGCACATCAATATGCAAGATGGTTAATTCCTCAGATTTGTCAAGAGAGTAGTAACGAGGGACAGAGAAGGAGGAGGGATGGATGGATAGAGGGGGATAGTGGGACTGATCGGAAGCTCCAGTGAAAACAACAGGATGAATGAGGAGGGGGGAGTGTTATAGTTGGCCGACAGCTTTTGATCGGTTAGTTCAAAGTGGAGACCAGATGGTGTTTTTGGAACAATCTTCCAACTTCTTTCTGTTTCCTGGAGTTAGTGCCAACATAAATTGTTTTTCCCTTTTCTTAAAGCTCAATTTCCAATCTCTCCGGGTCACTGTAGACAGCTGTTCTCCAGTAGGACCAGCCTCAAACTCCAGGAGTGTCGGCTGCCTCTGAAGGACGGTGAAGCGGTTCGTGGGCCATCCGCTTGTGCCTTATAGCCTTATCAATATGGGTATACTGTCATATGGATGGCTGAGTGGAATACTTGAGGGGAGAACAGACTGACTGAGAACCTGAGGTCCAGCATATTGATTATGAGATACTCAACTGTGGAACAGTAAAGAATTTACTTCGTTTAATGAAGGCAGATGTTCTGCTATTCATACAGATGCTTAAATAAGGAGCGTGCACTCCTTGCAGCACATCTGTACGTTTCTAAATATGTGCATGGGCAACAATGTTCTGTTACTGGTCCAATCAAGATATAGTAGTCAAAGCTTAGGTTAGAGCATCAGCTACAGTATTGTCAGGGCACTGGGAATGTAATATTTAGAAATATGGCCTTCACACAGCCTAACATGTAAGATCATATGGGATCATTCTATTATTGCAGCATCATAAAGCTTAATCTAATGTAGATACAATTCTGAGCATTTCTTTGCCCTCTTATTCTCTTTCCTTCTCACTTTTAAATTCTGTCATCTGCCTTCAGATGAATTTGCCATTATCTGCTTGATTAAGCAGGGAGAGCATGTAGCTGCTACCAAAAACAAATTCTCCCCAATTGCACATCTGCATGTTCTTTATTAATTAGTCTCAACAAATGGCATTCATTTTCCTCCCACATGGCTCAGCTTGTTTTGCAATGCAAACACACGGAGAACCTTGGCTTTGCTCGTCCCTAGCGCAATCATTTCCGAGTATGTGTTTGAAAGCGTGTTTCAATGTGGGGCAATGCTCTGCAGATATCCAGCAGGACTAGAAAAATATATGAAGAATATTTTATGTTGTGTGATGAGTTGGTTTCAGCAAGACATGAAACTGTGGCATCAGAATCATATTCTACTGCAGTGGTTTTATGCCGAGGGGTTTGGGGAGTTTACTGATTAAAGTCCAAAGGGCATAATGCAAGTTAAGTCATGCTGCTGGAGAAAACAGCATCAGGGGGTAGCCACCCCTCTGCTATCAAATAATTACTGTCTGCTAATGGACTGGTATGGACAACTGAAGTCAGCAGTCTATCCAGGGTTCTGAATCACCTCTGTCGGCTCTAAATCCCTCTCATTTCGGCAACATCACCAGTACATACTGTATTTAGATGCTAATTTGTCTAACCCTAGGTCAGATAACTCTGTATGAACTTATGTGGGAATGAAAATGCTGAGGCGGATGTAAATCATGAGCATTAAAGTGATGATAAAAGAAAATACCGTTGTGAAATGCATTGGATTTCAGGCTGGTTTAAGCAGTAAAGCAATGTGCCCGGTTGTGTTTAGATTACTCTCATTTGGATTGCTGTAAGGATGGAGCATTAGGAAAAAGGGCACCTAAGCTTAGTTGTGAGCAGAATACGAAATGTTGAGAAGGGCAGACAGACTAAGAAGATTTTAATTACTTTTGTTGCCATTAATATTATCTCACTAATACGGTCAATTAGATAACTCTGGGCAAGAAAATAAATGAGACTTTTAATTCTTAATATTGGGACTTGCACACAAAGAGACATGCAATAGGACCTACTAGAATTTTGGTCAGTGGACATTATTCGCAGTTTCAGGGAATACACAACCATTTTGTGAAATCTAATAATTTGCTGTCTTACTGAGAGTTAGATGAGACTATCAATAACAATTTAATGTCTGTGCGTTCAATACAGAGCTAACCCACAGAGTGTGAGAGAAATATCTGAAAGGCATTAACCTCGTATTTGATAGCTGTCAACTCATAATTTCTGACTTCTAATTAAGAAAAGGGGAAACAAATGTTTAATTTAAGCTCAAATTTGTGTTGACTGTGTGGATCAGTCAACACAAATTTTGCTTTAAGAAGCTTGTGGGCTTTGAAATCATTATCATTAGTGAGGCAAATTAAGTATACTTAGGTTTCACTTTACACTTTGACTTCATACCCCTGGCCAAAAATTGGGTAAGAGTTCATTCCAAAGATGATGTAACTCAGTCAGAACTTGGAAGGACAAAACTGGTTGTAGTATGCAGTCTAGCTTCAGAGACTTTCTGTATCCGGCCCTCACCAGGGTCCCACTTAGACTAATAGCAACTGTTCACCAGAGACTGCCATTAATCCCTCCATCTTTGTTATGGTACTGGGGCCCATTGCAGAATCACTTGCAAAACACACGAATGCAGAACTTGCAAAGGAACGTGAAATGGAATTCATTATTTGCAATAAACATTCTAGCTATTTTTTTTTTATATATGTGTGTGTGTGTGTGTGTGTGTGTGTGTGTGTGTGTGTGTGTGTGTGTGTGTGGTGTGTGTGGAGGGGAGGCGGGGAGTAAATGTGTGAAGCACCTTGTGCTTGTATGAAAGGTGCTATACAATTTAAGTCTGATTAATTGATTGATTGATTATATGTGGGAAACATAATCATAGAGTCCTGGCATAGATCATAAAGCTTGACATATTGCCTATTACAGTATATGAAAATATCTACATTATGAGGGATGAATATGTGAATATGAATGGCATTAGGTCCAAGTAGCACCCAAACAGCCTTCAGTGAAATTTACCAGTGTTTGATGATATCCAACTTTACAAGGACTAGTTCATGCTTGACTACTTGCTAAAATAATTCTGTCTAGAAACATTTAACACTGCCAACAATTATGAACCAGTATTGTTAAATCCTGACATATTACTGGTTCTTGCTGTAGAATAGAGGGGACACCCAAGCACAATTGTAAAGAAGAGATGGTCAAGTGTTACATTTATTTCACAAGCTGACACTGAGCGCCTGGAGAAACTATTTCTTTGATAGGCAGGGTGATGGCTTTCACCTTCTCAGTGAAAGGTTCACTACAAGAGAAGTGTAGTGGGCAGAAGAAATACAGGAGCTGTTTCTGTTTCTCCTTCTTCAAGGAGATAATACATGCTTTCCAAGCATATTTCTATTGCCTGGCAGTGAGTAATGTTACATCAGATTCTGGCGATTAGGTTTTAGTGAATATATATTTAGTAAGAAAACAGGTATGAAAAATTTATTTTGTGTGTGTTTTGGACAACACAATTGAGCTTTGATTTGTTTTTCTAAATTAAATTATTAACTGGAAAAAGGAAATGTGAAAGTCAAGTCTTTCATGAAAACTGTGAGGTAGTGCAGCTACAAAAGAATCATTACATCAGTCTGTTTGGCAGTGGACATATCAAGACAATGGGATAATTGTCTGGGGGAAGATTTGAGGAAAGCGTGTCTTTGATTTGTGCATGCACCCAGTCGTTTCTCTCATTGGTCTCCCCTGTGTTGTGTGTTGTCTTGTGCAGGTGTCACATTTAACATATTTAAACAATGTTGGCCTTTTGAAGACAATTTCCTGTTGATACACTTATTTAATTTATTTAATTACAGTCAGTCTGAATTGGTTCAGCCTGGTCTTCAGACCGTTTAAGGAAACACCTTTGTTGGCTGATCCAGTCCCTGAATAAGTAGACAGATTGGTGTGCTGCTGCCTCTGTATGACAACAGCATCTTCCCATTCATGGTTACCTTGTTGTCCTACTAAACTGCCCTCTGTGGAGCAGCAATGGAAAAGGCCAGACCTATCCTATGTGGTTATGGTCCTTAAAGAGATGGAGGTCAAGTTTCATCTGCTATTATTCCCTTTGCCACTGTCCCATCATTCATTCATCTGGCCGGTTTTTATTGTGACAGAAAGACGTGGTGCTATAGTCACCTTCTTTGCAGAATGTGGTGCATTCATATTTAAGTGGTCTCCAGATTTCCAACTTTGCAATACCACTCCATTCTCACAATATTATCTTGGTAAATGTAATTTTATCACTTCAATCCAAACAGCAAAAGTAGACATACTTTTAAATAATCCCGGGATATTCAGCTCTGCAGAGCTTTGTTTACAAGTCACACAACTGAGACATTTACATTTATGAACTGAACTGAAGCATGTCTCTACAGTAGATATGTCTTTAATGGTAACTGCATGTGTCGGCAAAGCACTTCACAGTTTGGTGTTTTGCTCCAAGCGCAGGTATGGTGCACTAAAGATTATATTTTTATTTGAAAAACATGCAGTGTTTCAGATGCTGTGGTTGAGCCAAGAACCTTGTAATCGAATTAGGCACCATTGAAATTAAGCAAATTGATACCCAAAACGAATGAATCAAAGTTCAATTACAGCACGTTTCATTTCAGGAGCAGCTTAATTTGGAAGTGGATCTTAGCACAAACTCCGGAGGCTCTACTGAACTGTTCTGAACACTTTACCTGTCAAGTCTGAGGAGGGGGCGGCAGAGTGTGGGGGAGGGAGGGAAACGAGAGGCTAAGCCTTGTGGGAGACAATTTGAATCTCGACAATTAGTCTCTGCTGTCGCTCAGTTTGATCTCACACTGTGAAAAATGTTGTCAGGAGCTTTAATTGTATAAAGAGCACATTTTGGAATGCTAATTAGAAATCTGCTGCACTCATTTTTCAGGGTTAAATCATACATTCAGAAGCGAGGATGATGCTGTGATGGCGAACATTTATCACAGACGCATCATTATACATGGTGACAAATCAGTTTACATGTGGGCAGACTTCCCTCTCTGACTGCATGACAAAAAATGACGAGGACAAACTGCAAGGGTTGCAAACACTAACAACTGTTAATCATTTTTACTCCTGCGCCTGAGTTGGCCTGATCATGCCGTGCCCGCTCTTGCCTTGCTTGCCTCTTGTGGTGTACATAATGAAAAGAATGGAGCCGTCAGTCATATTGGCTCTCTAAATAGCATTTTCTGCTTTATTAGTCATACTTAATGATGTTGAAGAGGCCGTGAGTGATGCAAAATCCCTTTGTTCAAAGCCCTTCTCTTACTGTGAACGGTTCTTGATCGAAAAAAGATTCCCTGACAATTGAGGCTGAATATGTTTTACACGCTGGGCTTACTTTGCCTATTTTAGAGGGGAATTGTGCATGCTCTCATCAAAAAGATTGATGGCATGAGCATGGAAATAAAAGAGGTGGAGACAGTGTGCATAGTGCCACAGAAGTCAGGTAGTGGGACCAAAAAAGACAATCCCATTCAGTTTAGATGGACAGCTTCTTTGATATTTCATCATAGTGAACAAAAAAAAGTGATGCATCATCAATCCATCCACCCACCTACATGGTATGAAAGCAAAATGGACCAATTATAAATATCCATCAGAGCCTAAAATGAAAGATGTTTACAGAGTGTTAGTCACGTATGCCTGTCTGACAGTTTCACGCCTGTACATGTGAGAAATACCTCAAATACTGAGTAATGCATGTCAGAAACTGCTTCCTTTACATCGTACTGATTGCTAACCAAAGCACTCAAAAAACAATAATTTAAACAAAAAATACTAAAGCATAACAGGGAAGGGAGAAACACTGAAAGCAATAAAAGGAGAGATGGAGAGGGAGAAGTGGAATATGCTTACGCTGGATGTCAATTGTGACGCTGGTCTCCTTGCCGTTGGGGACTGCCTTGTTGGAGGCCTTGCAGATGATCTGCTGACCTGTCTCGATGTTGGAAGGCGATAGGTAGAGCGTGCTCACAGTGCTTTCTCTCCTACCATCCCGGAGCAAGGTCTGCAAAGAGTAAAGAGAAGTTGAGTAAAGTTGCAAGCAGTTATGTGTAAGAAATGTTTTAGGCCTCTAAATCTGCACCAAGGTTGGTCTGATGGATCGCCATGCTGGAACCTTGCATTTTTATTTTCATAATCAATAAAAAGAATCTCCAGCTATTTGGATTTTGGGGGGCAAACTCTACTCTAATACTACACACCCAAAGTCAAATACATATTGGCTTGTATCTTCAGTAGCTCAAATTCAAGGACTTTAAACTGTTTAAATGATATATAAACAGAAGAGAGATGGAACAAACAGTTCACCAGACAAGCTTTGATGGAGAAGGTGTACAATTGTAAAAATAATTCATGAATACACACATCTTGTCCCTTGGGGGACCAGAGGCAAACCATCAGAACATTCTAGACTGCAGTTTTACTGCAAAGCTGATTGAAATGGAAAAATAAAATAAGAAATATGTTTTTTGAGCCTCTTTTGTGTGTCTGGAGAGCTGCGCTCTAGTGCACGGCTTGTCATACTCCACAAAGGAAATCAATCTTCTTTTCAGCGCTCATCCTCTGAGCCCCACATTGTGGAAGCCATCTGGAATCGGTTGGTAGCGCTCAGTAGCTCTCACTCTCCCTAAAACGCTCAGGGGAGGGCTCTAGGAGTCTATGTTAACCAATGCGGGGCAGAACAAAGTCAGTGACTAGAACAAATTGCGTGGGCAACAGGGCACAGTGTGGTCAACCACAAAGTCAAGATGCATTTCCCTGCCATCTCTTTAAAGGAGCCTCACTGTTGCTTTGTGTTTTCGAAGAAAATAAGACCCTGCTATAGTGAAGTGCATCAAACATGTTCTTCATTTAGAAACAGAGCTACTATGTTGACCAGAGGGCGCTCACAGCAGACTTGCTGCTACCTTTGGATCGGCCTCACAAATGTATGAATTGCTTCATGGAGATTTTCTTCATTTGGATTCTAATAGAACTCTAATATAGAATTCTAATAAAAACACATACCAAGAAAAATGAGAAATGTGAAAATGTCTACAACTAACATTTTAGTCTGCAAACCAATATGTCTCCAAATGCAATGACTCTTTAATTATGTACAATAGGTCTAAATATAAAACAAAAGTTCTAGAAAGGCACAAAAGGTAGGTTGAGGTGTCATGACTGATACTTATATATTTCAACCACCGTAATCACTACCCATTAATCATTTGCTGAGTCAAACTGTGGCTCAATGTACAAACTAGTGATAATTATCTCCTCATTTCTCTACCTTAATGCAAGGGTTTCTTTTTTTTAACTGTAATCTAAGTATGTGTTCTCCTTCTCACTTAAGCATACTATATTCTGATTAATATAATTAAGATGTCACTGAACTTGTAAAATCCGACGGCAAGACATTTCATAAGAAATCTTTTTATCTAACCACTTTATGTTTCAAGTACTTCAACATACGTCTTAGTCACATTAGGATGTCTGTAGTAGGATTGACGATAAACATACATTTTTTCTGTATATTAATAATAATTTTATATGTATACTAATATCATAGATGCCATACATGTTTCTCTGAAGTCCATTTGTATGTGAAGAACCATGTGATGAAATTCATAGTTATGTGTGAGTCACTTCTAAAGCAGAACGCATTAGCTGTCAGACGTGGGATATGTCAATGTAATATCCTTTCTGACACAATCAGGATTGTTTCCCTCGTCGCTCTGGACCTGTCTGAAGTCATTAATCTTAGGAAGGGGGTTAGCTGGTAGCCGCATTGAATTCAACACCATGCCACATTACAAATTGATAAATTTTCATATGACTGCCTGGAGCCTATGTGAAGAATACTTTTAAGCACGCTAGGAGAGGAATGGCAAAAGTAACAAGATTGAGGCATAAAGGGTGTTTTTTCTAACATGTATATTTATAGCTGCATGACCAGTAGAGGAGGAAGCATCTGAAACACATTGAGCCACTGCTTTTGATTAATTTGTAAGCAAAACTAGAGGAAACTGCAACTCAGACGCTCTCTTTTTCGCAACCTGTTGGTCTAACATTTGCTGGCTTAATTCGGGCCGTGCTTGTTTACATCATCTCTGTGCCATCTAACTTATTTTCCATTATTTTGTGGGGGTAAACATTTCTATTATTACAGTCGTATGGCTTGTATTCTGAGACAGTCTTATGTCTCATAAAAACCACAGCAACACACTCTTAACCAGTTAACATAACAATAGCTAACCTACCTTGACTTAAATCTGCAACTGCCAAGCCAAACTTAATAAGAAGGTGAGATGTTAGTAGAAGACCAGACACTTCAAAAAGCCCAGGCATCTAATTAAAGAAATAGCTGAACCAAATGGATTCTATAAAATAAAACAGGATGTACTACCAGTCACTGATAGCCCCAAACCTTTACCATGTTGACTTTGAACCACTATTTCACCTGCATTTATGATGCTGTTAAACCATGTATGAAAGTTTAAAAGGAATTTGTCCCATAACATTCACACCTACGTATAAAGTTCCAATAAATCCATAGTAGGAATGTAAAAACAATGAATGTGTTAATGTTCTTATGAATTATTAACCAATATTTACTTCATCATTAAGCCATATAGTCTCAGATTTACCTTGAATTCCCTAATTTGGTCAATATAATTTATGAATGACATTAAGACATGCCTATTAATTATGTTTTATGAGCATTTCATTCAAACTCTCAAGTCACTTAAAATATAAACCTAAAATATTAAGTCAGAAATGAAATGACCCACTGAGACCTTGCAGGCATGCAGGGAAAGCCTTGATTGGGTTAGTAAGAGGGAATGTAGAGGAAATAAGCCTCCCGGGGATGATGCTGAATTTACCAAGTAAGCAAAAGCTAATAATTTATACATCATTAATGCATTTTGCTAACCCATCAAACATGCTGTTGATTTGATACCAAATGTATCTCTGGGTTATATTCAGTCAGCCATTCTTAATTCAAGACCACACAAGGGTTCTTTCACTAAAACAGTTGATTGCTTTAACATTGTAATATATATTTACGCAGAAGTGGAAATATACTTTTCTTTTTTTTTTACCATGGTCACCGAGGTTTAATAGGTTTCTTTTGTTAAGCTTAACTCACTACTCACCTCAAATAGATTATTTAAAAATGTTGCTAAAAGCAATTAATTAAAGTGATCTATATTTCAGATCACACCTTTAAGTTTAATGTTGAAAAATGAGGTTAATTAGCTTGCCAACATCTTTTGAGATCTTTTAAAAGTGACACAATGAAATATATTAATGTTGAGAGTAATGCATCCTTTGACTTCATACTCTCCTCAACTGTTGGAAAAACTACACCTGTCTGATAATGAAAAAAAAGTTGACTTGTTTAATGCCCACTCACATTTTAATTGGTTACTTTATTTGTAAGTATTTTCCCACACCATTACTCAGTCAGTGTGATGATTAAAATGCAATAACATGCACTAATTGCAAAAAAAAACCACACAGATGAGCGGTGGGAGAAAAATAAAGAAAAAACAGCTGCTTTGCACACTTGCAGGAAAGAAGTGTTGGAAAATATTGTAAAGATTGGGAAAGGGTTATTTAGGTGAAAGGGTTTTCTGCTGAAAATGATATCCATCAACAGTAGCAGCTTCATGTAAACTTTATCAATTTTTATCTGACATTAAACAGCAACACAATTTTACTGCAAAGCTGAGAGGGTATACAGTAAAAAAAAAGCACTATTCTGCTCTTGCCAGCAAGAACAGCTCATAAAAATGTCATTATTTTTTTTATTTTTTTAACACCTCCTAACACTGAGATAACTCCCCAGACTCCTGCTCACCTCTCAGCTTGCCACTAGAGCATTCCGAAAAATATGTAGCGCAGTGGGGAGGGGAATGCATCATGTTTTTCAAATGATTTGTTGTACCATTACATTGCAAAAGTATCACAGAGCAAGTGTGCACACCTCCGAACCACAGCTCAGACCTGGAGGCTGCACATTATAAACAGTCCTTTGCTGTTTGCCACTGACTAGCTCCGCTGGAGCAGATGGGAGATGAGTGTTTGAGGGAAGAGAGAACATTATTCATTCATTTCCTCTGCCCACATTTTCACAGCTAGTCTTGATATTTGAACCATTCACCTTAATGTGACATGCTTAATGTGTCACTTAATTATTCTTGGTGTCCCCTCCATGATATGCTACAGTTAAGTTTTTTGAAATCTAAAGAATGATAAGCAATGCATCAATTCAGTGACTCTTATATGGTCAAACCAACACACATTTTTGCTAAGTGATAGCTTTAATCGACTTTCTCTTTAACCACTGGTCCAGTCAATAGTTTTCTAAGAGGTCATAGAGATGAGGCTGTCGAGGCCTTAGTGGGAGATTATCTTTGGGTTAGAACTATCATTAGATATGACACCATCAAGAAAACGATTTCTGTGAATCCTCCACCACATCTGCTCACATTAGCCCTCTTCATCTGCGGGATATGAGAAGACCATCAGAGCAGATGATTATGCTTACAAAATTTCCCCCTACTGCTCTTCGGACCCAAAAAAAGAGTCATCTTATTTTAATTGAACCCATTGCTTTTTAATGGTAGGCAATAGAGATAAGAGGGAAGAGGGACATACTTGTACTCGTGCAGGCATGTGAGCATCCATCAGCTACCAGCACAGAATATCCTCATATCTGCTTTTGCTCTGAGAGGAAGTGAAGGCAGGAAGCGCACTCTCCGCCCACCATTAGCAAGCGGCACCTCCAGCAATCACTTTATTCAAATCGGCCTGGTGCCGTACCCCAGTCCAATCAATGGCATTTATCTGCTCTTTGAAAAAAGCCGATAATGGGATGAGGCAGCGCAGGGAGCGAGGGAAGGCGGGGGAGGTGTTAGTGCTCTAAAGTGCCTGGTCTCTTTATGTCCTTTGTTTAAATGGAAATAGAACATGACAGTGTTGATTGCATGATTAGCCTTAAGGGTGAATGTCAGTCAAGAGTCTATGGCGTCAGGTGATCACACCAACAGGCTGGTGTGAACAGCGGCTATTCGGTACCACAGCATCAAAAGTGGGAACACGATCTGTCAGTGACAATCGTACTTGGCTGTGAAAAAGTTCAGGCAGAGTCCAGCACAGAAAGTGCCATAGTAGATTTTGTAACAGGTTGGGAAGATGAAGTGAGACAAATGTCACTGACGAAGGAGATCAAACACTAGAGAGAAATGTAAAGTCACTGACAGTTCCACGATCTCACCATCTGCTTGTCTGAGTTGATTTGTATTCTGGGAGAAAAAGGCTAGCCAACTTTTTGTAATCAAAACACAACCTGGATTTTCAAGGGATTTTATTTCAAAAAGCAGTCTGGATGCTGAGGCAAACGCCCACCAATGACTCCAGCAGTCACTCTGAAACATCTCATGGATGTTCAGCACTTTTGCAGTAGTTGTTTACAGCTAAGCGAAACATGCAAAAATGGAAAGTAACAGGTCTTTTCATTCCCTATCTCAAGCTACTTTCATTAAAAAAATTGTCTAGAGAATGAAAGGACCACCATGCAACCCTCGTCCACCATCCCACCACCACTTAGTCCCAAGTCGGTCTTCAAACCTGATATGACACACACCTCTATGCTTACCTTGGAGTACATGGCCCCATTAAGAACCTCTCCATTGCGGATCCAGATGATTGAGGCTGCTGGCTTGGCGTTGTCTGCATGGCAGGTGAGATTGAGTGGGTCACCAGCCCTCAGGCTCACCACCGGCCCTCCACTGATGACTGGGTCCTCTGGGGGAACTATTGATACAGACACAGAAAAAAAGAAGACATTAGTCAGTATGGTAACTCTAATTCATATTAAATCTGGATTATGTGTAACATATGAAGACATGCAATTGAGTTATCATTCATTGTATAACAAGTGTTACTTTTTTTCTGAAATCAGAATATGGCATACTGTAACCGGCATGTAATGTCAGGGTTTATGGATGGGTCAAACACAGGACTCACACACAGGATGCTGGGGTTTATATTCCTTGTGAAACCAATAATCAACATTGATTGTTTTAAGGAAGTAGTTCTTTTAACCAAAACCATGATCTCTTCCTAAACCTATTAAGTAGTTTAGATGCCTAAACCTGACCAAACATGTCGTTTTCACATCGTGGTGGACAAAACATGACACCGCCACAGTGGAGTGGCGGTAGTATTACGTGCTTTGGCATGATACTGGGTTGTACAATCCCAACAAGCAACACAGATTTGGTTTATTGTTAAGTTGAAAACTAGCAATAGATGATTGCATTTGCGGTGACAAAAAGCTTTACACAAGTCACAGCATGACTCTCAAAATAACAATAGACTCTGCCATCAATCAAAGCAGATGTGATGACACACATAAATGTCAGCATTAAATACTGTATTTGAACCCCCCTCAGACACGCAGACATTTGTATATCCTGTGGCTCCCTCTCTCAGCCTTTACAAATATAACAGAGAGAAGAAAACATCACAGCAGTGCTATATGTTCCTGTAGATGGCACTGATCAAAGTCCTTTTCCTGTTTTACCCATGAGCTGATCTGTTTTTTTTGGGTTTTTTTGCTTTGTTTTTTTATAACTGAAACTGCAGTGAATTATTGATTGACCTGAGTGCTCATTACAATGCAGATCTGGGGCAAGATGAAAATCAAAGGCTGCAGGCAGCTGCCATATTCCACTGCAAAAGCATCATGATTGGAAGGAAGGTTTTTATGAGCTAGATTTATGCTGTCAAACAGCACTGAGAAGAAAAGAGAGAAAATGTAATTTGGGATACTGTTTTGTACATTTAATGACAATAAATATAAAGGGCTCTTTTGTGGCAGAAATAAATTAGAGTGTGGTGTCAGGAAAGATTACATATAGTATTCTATGTTGCTATATCGTCTCTTCAATGAAATGATTAATTATCACTTTACTTATCTCAGACCTAGATAGCTGCATTTACTTCAAAGTTATTATCCTTAAGATTTTCATCAAAGGTCCAGTGTGTAGGATTTAGTGGCATTTAGCTGTGCAGTTGCAGATTGCTTCATCCTCCCATTCCAAGTGCAAAGGAGAAACTATGGTGGGTGTGTAATGTAGAGCTAGTCTTTGATTTGTCCCTTCTGTGCAACAGCAGAAACAAGGGCGGACTGCATGGACATCAGCATCTGTATAGAAGGCTAATTCCAAGGTAACAAAAACCTAACCTGAACGGAGGCACTAATGAATATTGTATTCCATTTCTGCCAAAAAGATGCTCATAAATGTTACACACGGACCTTTAAATGAACCTTTACATTTTTAATACTATTTTTGATACTCTTTATAGACACAGGCATGGTGAGACTTGCGCCGGGCAGCAACACACAAAACATAGTTCAATATAAATAAAGCGTTCAATACACAATGTGTAATAGTGTTTGATGTTTTTTTACATTATTTAAGGTTTTTATACCAAGCTGGTATTTTGAAAAATATGAAGTTTAGTAAAATCACATAATTTAAGAGATATATGTGCACACATGCAGATCATAGGTCAAAACATGGCTACATTTGGCTGAATTATGAAGAAATGGAACTAAATGTAGTTTTGTGCCAATGAAATCAATGGTGCTATAGTAAACTTGTTTATTTAAACAATGCTAGTTAGTTTGGTTGCACTGTAAATGCACACTCCAGTTGCTCTTAAATTCTATCTCTATCTAGTAGCTGCTCAAGAAGTGTTTGCTGTAGTGTTAAACTGCAATTGCTGTTACCACGGGAACCATGGGTGTCGCCAAATTAATCAGGATTGAAAGGATTTAAGGATTACAATTTAAAGATTTTAGTCTATTGCACAAATAGTAGTGTATCATTTGTAGTATCATACAGAGCAAGTGGAGCAGCAGCACTTTGAGAGTGGTCATCCACAGAAACATCGCACTCCAGTTCTCTGTCACAGACAAGCTCATCTTAGTCTTCAAGTGCATGGGGGTGGCATTTTGGTCTTTAGCTCTTATGACTAATGCTTTTCCATTACACAAAGCTATTGACTAAAAAAACAAATTATGAGACAACATAACCATCAATACCATATATGTACCATGTGAGTAATGGCTGAATCATACCAGTCTGGGAATAGTGAAGTCTGGACTCTGACTACACCGGACTAATAACTCTGAACAACTAGACCGGTAAATCTGCTATTTCAAAGGCAATTCCCACTCACTAGTTCATATTGTGTATTTCAGTTTGAAATGCAGTGTTCTGGCTAGCTCCCTTTCATCTGGTCTTCATTAATATGCGAAGGGTTGGGAGAGGTAGAGGAATCTCAGGTCAGCACTAGTAGATCAGACAACAGAGTGCTGATCTCGGCAAGTAAGAAAGAATCTTTGTGAGAACATGGTCACCTTATGGTCCTTCATCATGAATTGGAAACAAGGTCAAGAAGATCACATTAGTTTACTCTTATGCTAAGAATAGAGCGACTGCATGGTATGCAAATGAGACAGGGAGCATGTGGAAAGCACTATGAGCTGGGACTCTCAAACAGCTCCCCCATTTGTCATTAAAGAAAACGAACAAAACACAAGGCTCAGTGATAGCACTGTGACAGCTGATTGCAAAGATCCAGTGTTATTGGCTTGCTGTCAGTGCTCTCTTGCACACATGAGTGAAACATTAATTAACTGCCAAGCATATATGGCAGCCATAAAAGCTCTTTTATGGAGAGGGGGAGAATAGAAAGGAACATCTGACAATATGTGACTGATAGGAGTACTCACTGCACATCCAAGTGAGGTGATCTTCCTATTATTGCTTACAAGTGCTGAAAACTCTTAGAAAGGCTCTTTATGCTCTATTCCTCTAAGTATTCATCCAATACACATATTAACACACATCAGTGTCTATAAATAGGTGCAGGGTCAGAAGGTGACACCACTTATGAACAAGGTTACACCCTTGCAGACTGTTTGTCACTATGTGTCCCCCTTTGACCTTTAATAGTCTCAGTTGTCTACTATTATTCAGCCTTATGTTTTCCATTTAGGGATGTCAGAGCATACAGTGCAAGAGGAGTTTATGATTTTGTGCATTGTGGAGCTACATGGGAGAGAGGAGGTCACAGGCAGACCAAACAGAGCACTGCTACACTTTCAGTTCATTCAGTACGTGTGCCCCTGGGGGGCTGCCTGCCAGCAAGACACTGAGGGTGAATGGTAAATAGACAACAAGAAGAAGATATGGCTGGCTGCCCCCATCCTGCATCCATTCCTTTGTATCCCTCTGTCCTCCACTGTGTTTGAGGTCTTACTGTATGCAGAGGGTGCCAATGTGGAGACTGCGGTTGCAGTTGAATAGGCTTTTTTTTTGCTGTGGAAGGTTCCTAGCTCAGTGAAATGACCGGACATTATCCAAGGGGCTGAGTTGTGCAGTGGTTCTTAGGCTGTTATGTGCATAGGTTTATATGAGACATTTTTAGTTTTTAATTCACCATGGATGACATTTAAGGATGATGACATGTACATTAGTAGATTTGTGTGCCTAGAATGTTCTCCTAAATTCAATAATTATGCTCATACAATCATGCTACTACCATTTCATTTCCATTTTTGGACTGGTATGCTTTTATTAAAATTTAAATTACAACCTTGGTGATTAAGTGATATTTTTCACCAGCTTGTCCATGTAGCCTCAATGAAAAAAACAAGATAAGAATGCACATGGCGAGGTATCTAAGATGTTTTTTTAGTAGTCCACCTTTGGAAAATTGTAGTTTCTGACGGCAGACCCATATCAATAGCATCTGCCATCGCATAATTACCACCAAATACAAATAACATAGTGCAAGTGGAGTCAGATTGTCTTAACACGATTCTTATCTTATCCTAAGTCCCTCCTCCTAACGTTTTCCATTGAGGTCAAGGAAAGGTGTATAGGAAAAGACATAAGGCGTAATCTTTTTGACTATTTGACTCTGTTTGTAACAGCCTGGACTGAAATTGTTTTCTGTGTAACTAGTACATGTGCTAGGCTCTCGGCTTGTGTTCCTCTGGCTTTTTTTGAAATTACCACCACTAAAAGAGCATGGAAAAAGCCTCTCACAAAGGCAAAAAGGCAGTTGGACTTGATAACACAATAGGCCCTGTAATAGAGGAAACTTTTGTTCTATTTTTCTTGGCAGGTGAAAGCCTTTATGTCTGCTGAAAAAGTGGTGAGATTTGACCAATAACCCAACATCCATTGAATACAAATGAATGACTAAGAAAAAAAATATTTAAATAGATGCTTAGCTCTTTCTCTTCATCCGAGATCTTCTACTGATCCTGCATTATGACTGCCAGGTCTGACAGTTATACAGAGGCCAAGCCTTGAACTTGAATCAGCCATCATCATTACTGGGCTGTTTGCAAACTCGGCAGTCCCTAATGGTTCTAAATTAGCTCTTTACTGCAGCCATTCGATGGACTTGGCATAAGTAGTGTGGTCAGTGGTACAGATTGATCGCTCCTCTTTAATTACAGGGCTGACTCACTGCAAACTCTGCTCCACTCGCTACTTTTTTCTTGGGGTTAATAATGTAATTCCTTTCAACACTTTCACAAATGTGCATCCTCCTGTGCATGCATGAACATGGACACTGTCGGCATGCATACACACAGACACATTACATGTTTTATCAGTCCCACTCATAGCAAATCAGTCACGAAGGAATTTGGGCTTTTTTTTGCATGTCTGTGTTAATCAAAGGAGTGTTTCAACTAAAGAATCATTGAAACCACACACTGAAAT